TTTTTTCGGGCACCAACTGAGAGGAGACCCAAAGGAAGACCCAGGACACGCTAGGGGAACTATGTTTCTCTGCTAGCCAGGAAACACCTTGGGATTCCCCCGGAGGAGCTGGCCAAATGGCTGAGGAGAGGGAAGTCTGGGCCTCCCTGCTTAGGCTGCTGCCACCCGCCACCCAACCCAGGATAAGCTTTTGAAAATGCATGGATGGCTTCAAATTTTGACTTTAAGTGATTTCCTGGCTGTGCATTTGTTTGTATGTTTGTTTGTTTCATTTCACTCAGACATAATTTAGATTCTTGAGACATTTTATAATAATTTTGAATTGGTATTATGATGTACAGTGGGGCAAAAAAGTATTTAGTCAGCCACCGATTGTGCAAGTTTTCTCACTTAAAATGATGACAGAGGTCAGTCATTTTCATCATAGGTACACTTCAACTGTGAGAGACAGAATGTGAACAAAAATCCATGAATTCACATGGCAGGATTTTTAAAGAATTTATTTGTAAATCAGGGTGGAAAATAAGTATTTGGTCAATAACAAAAATTCAACTCAATACTTTGTAACATAACCTTTGTTGGCAATAACAGAGGTCAAACGATTACTATAGGTCTTTACCAGGTTTGCACACACAGTAGCTGGTATTTTGGCCCATTCCTCCATGCAGATCTTCTCGAGAGCAGTGATGTTTTGGGGCTGTCGCCGAGCAACACGGACTTTCAACTCCCTCCACAGATTTTCTATGGGGTTGAGGTCTGGAGACTGGCTAGGCCACTCCAGGACTTTCAAATGCTTCTTACGGAGCCACTCCTTTGTTGCCCGGGCGGTGTGTTTGGGATCATTGTCATGTTGGAAGACCCAGCCACGTTTCATCTTCAAAGCTCTCACTGATGGGAGGAGGTTTTGGCTCAGAATCTCACGATACATGGCCCCATTCATTCTGCCCTTAACACGGATCAGTCGTCCTGTCCCCTTAGCAGACACACAGCCCCAAAGCAGGATGTTCCCACCCCCATGCTTCACAGTAGGTATGGTGTTCTTGGGATGCAACTCAGTATTCTTCTTCCTCCAAACACGACGAGTTGAGTTCATACCGAAAAGTTCTACTTTGGTTTCCTCTGACCACATGACATTCTCCCAATCCTCTGCTGTATCATCCATGTGCTCTCTGGCAAACTTCAGACGGGCCTGGACATGCACTGGCTTCAGCAGCGGAACACGTCTGGCACTGCAGGATTTGATTCCCTGCCGTTGTAGTGTGTTACTGATGGTGACCTTTGTTACTGTGGTCCCAGCTCTCTGCAGGTCATTCACCAGGTCCCCCCATGTGGTTCTGGGATTCTTGCTCACCATTCTCATTATCATTTTGACCCCCACGGGATGAGATCTTGCGTGGAGCCCTAGATCGAGGGAGATTATCAGTGGTCTTGTATGTCTTCCATTTTCTGATAATTGCTCCCACAGTTGATTTTGTCACACCAAGCTGCTTGCCTATTGTAGATTCACTCTTCACAGTCTGGTGCAGGTCTACAATTCTTTTCCTGGTGTCCTTCGAAAGCTCTTTGGTCTTGGCCATAGTGGAGTTTGGAGTCTGACTGTTTGGACAGGTGTCTTTTAAACAAATAATGAGTTCAAACAGGTGCCATTAATACAGGTAATGAGTGGAGGACAGAAAAGCTTCTTAAAGAAGACATTACAGGTCTGTGAGAGCCAGAGATTTTCCTTGTTTGAAGTGACCAAATACTTATTTTCCACACTGATTTACAAATAAATTCTTTAAAAATCCTGCCATGTGAATTCATGGATTTTTTTTTCACATTCTGTCTCTCACAGTTGAAGTGTACCTATGATGTAAATTACTGACCTCTGTCTCATTTTAAGTGGGAGAACCTGCACAATCGGTGGCTGACTAAATACTTTTTTGACCCACGGTATTATAATAGAGTTGTTGCCTTGCAGCGAGAAGGTCCTGGGTTTGCTTCCCAGCCTGGGATCTTTCTGCATGGAGTTTGCATGTTCTCCCTGTGCATGCGTGGGTTCTCTCCGGGTACTCTGGCTTCCTCCCACAGTCCAAAAACATGACTGTTAGGTTAATCGGTCTGCCTAAATTGTCCTTAGGTGTGTGTGTGTGTGTGTGTGTGTGTGTGTGTGCGTGCGTGCGTGCGTGCGTGCGTGCGTGCGTGTGTGTGTGTGTGTGTGCGTGTGTGTGTGTGTGTGTGTGTGTGTGTGTGTGTGTGTGTGTGTGTGTGTGTGTGTGTGTGTGTGATTGTTTGTCCTGCGTGTCTCTGTGTTGCCCTGCGATGGACTGGCTCTCTGTCCAGGGTGTACCCCACCTGATTGCCCGTTGACCGCTGGAGATAGGCACCAGCCCCCCCCCCCCACACACACACACACACACACCCCCCCCACCCCCCCCCCCACCCCCACCCCCACCCTACGTGGACAAAGCGGGTTCAGACAATGCATGGATGGATGGATTATGATGTATTTTGCATGTGCACCAGTCTTTAAATTCACAAAAATGGGTTAATAAGAATATATTCATGTAAATGATAAAGAACAATCCCCCTTTGGAATGATTCAAAGCCTGCTTCATAGCAGATTTCCTCAGACTCTGTTCTTCTGTTTTGCTGTCGAGTATTTAGCTTTTGTAGTGATCATAGCTTTGTAGCTTGGTTCATTCTCACTGATCTATAAATCCAAACAGACAACCAACTAGATGGAAACAAGACAGCAGGATTTTTTCATGTAAAGGGAAACAAAAATTGAACATGAAATAACAGAAGCATTCTTTGAACTTGGTTTTTCATAAGGCTTTGTACAATAGTCATGCTTTGAGATGTGCAGCTTCAAAAATCAGTTCTTTCTGCTGTAAAATTGAAAACTTTGACCGCTTCCTGTTTGCATGACCCCGTGAACACAGCTGCAACAACAAAGTCACAATCATTTTCAGAAATGATGGGACATCCCGGAGGAGCGTCAGCATTCGTGTTTAATCTCAAAGCCCTAATCTGATTAAACATTACAAGGTGAATTGGTGCAGCCAAGGAGGAGAGGAAGGTGAGAACTGGCACAGTTCCCGGCCACAAGAGCAAGTCAACAGATATGGTGAGGGGAGAAGCTGCACAGAAAGGACAGTGAAGGGATTTAAATGAAAGAAGAAAGAGCAAATAAAAAACAGAGAGTGTATGTACTCTCTGTGTGTGTTTGTGCGCAGCTGTGCAGTGACGGAGTGAAGGGAGGAGTGAGCAGAGGGGGTCCATTGTGGGTCTTTGTGTGGCTCAGATTGTCCTCTTCTCTGGGAAAGTGGAAACTCAATACTCCTCTCCAGAGGTCTGGTTACCAGGTGAGAGAGGAGGAAAAGGAGAGAGAGAGAGAGAGAGAGAGAGAGAGAGAGAGAGAGAGAGAGAGAGAGAGAGAGAGAGAGAGAGAGAGAGAGAGAGAGAGAGAGAGAGAGAGAGAGCTGCCTAGGTGTGGAGAGAAACAGAAAAAGACAGAGGGCAGAGATTAGAAGGTTTTAGGGCGTGTGAGTGAGAAAAAGATGTCGATGGATAAAAGAAAATAAAAGAGAAATATTTAAGGAGCAATTTAAATCCTACAAGAATAAAACAGTTAATTAATCTGGAGGAGAGGGTAAAAATGACAAGTTTAATGATTTAATATTTATTTTTCTACTATAAAGAAACATGATAAAATAAAATTAAAAAGATAATATTTTAGTTAGGCATAAACAGGCTGGATAACATTTTTGGACTGACAAAAAAATAAGGTACAACTTAGCTGTAAAACAGCTCTTCCTGGTGGTCACCTATGGAACTTCTGATGTAAAACATCAAAATTGTCATAGAAAATCTTTTCTTAGCTTCTTCTGAAGAAACGTTTTTATTAAATTAAATTGCGTCAATTTAAACTCAGTATTTTACATTATATTGCTGCATTTAACGTACCATTAATCACAATTTAAATTAAAAATATTCATGAGTGTAGAAAATGAATGTCACAAACGTGTGTCTGCTTAAACAGGTGAAAGAACAAAATCGTCACATACGATCATTCCAGGTTCATTTCTTCTTTTACAGATGAATCAAACAGACATCTGTTGTATGTGAAAAATGTACATTTTTTCTCATGAATAATGTTTTACAAAGTATTTATATATTTATATTTGTGTATATATTTTACAGATTTAACCCTGAAAAATAAAATTAAAGAGGAAGTACACCGTCAAAAATAAAGACACAAACAGAACCCTATCTAAATGAAAATATTTGATTCATATCTTAAACAAAAATGCTCTACAATTCAATTTTTCGTCAAATAGCCTTTTGATTCTTATACACACACACACACACACACACACACACATATATATATATATATATATATATATATATATATATATATATATATATATATATATATATATATAAATATATATATATATATATATGTGTGTGTGTGTGTGTGTGTGTGTGTGTGTGTGTATTCACCCCCCAAACAGAGATGTTGTCATCTATTTACGAGCAACAGGATATCAGCCCTGCTCCAACATATAAAGATTATTACGGAAATCTTGTGGGGGTTTTTGGACAGATCACCTTAAACTTGCAAAATTAACAGATTTTTTCTCTATTTGGTGTCGTAACCACACAGATATAAATGTAGAAATTAAACAAAATATTAAAACCCTTTGATCAGCCTACCCCAGTGTTGATGTCTCTCTTTGTGCAGAAATGAAAGGGACGCAGGAGTGACCATGTGCATTTGACATGAGTGGTTTTTTGTCTCTTTTTCTCCCCCGGTGTTGTCTGGAGTGCTCTGTGGAGGCGGCAGCTCTGAGAACAGCTGCTTCTGACAACGGCAGTGTAAAAAACTATGTGTGTCACTCGGGGATTGAGTGTGTGTGTTTGTGTGTGTTGGACACTTAAAAAAGGAGACAAAGCATCTGCCCTACGGCAGTTTGACCTGTTTCAAACACATTACAGAGCCACAATAGTAATGAATGAGAAAAATCTTTTATTAAATGTCAAATACTGAGCTTTCCCTCTAATAGATGTTTTCTTGATAATGTGTCAGATCAGAGATTGATGTTCATTTTCATTCAAAGAAAATGCACCCACTGAAAATGATTTCAAAAACTGACTGGCAATTAATCCAAATGTCTGTAGCTGTCCATTCATGTTGGAGCTGTATGTCCTGCAGGAGAGCACGCATGCATGTGCGTGTCAGTCAATAAATGTGAGCGAATGTGTTGTATGTGGATGCAAATGGGCTGCAGTCAGTGCCCTCCATTGTAAGCGTAGTCTGCCTTATTGTGCATGACCAGTCTGTTGTCGACGAAATAGAAACTGTCTGAGCGGGTTTCGTAAGGACGGTCCACCATCTGACACACTGCAAGACATAATACAGGTGTGTTAAAGATACAACCATGTAAATGACATTTACAACTGTTTAAATACAGTTTATACACAAAAAGACCATCCCTGTTGCTGTTTCCTGATCATTTCAACCGTGTCTCGGTAAAATCTGAGAACACGTGCTAAAGATTTGCCTAAATCATCCTGAAGAAGCCAAATTCTGAGCATCGTTTTCATCCAGAATCCACTCACTGTGTTTTGCGTGCAGAAGCCCAGAAGTATTTTGAGGTAATCACAACTGGATTCGTTTTTGGGACAAATGTTGACAGCAAACTTAAACAGACTGTCAGGATTTAGGAAACCACTAGATTTAGCTGATTTAAATGCAGAAGCCTAATTATGTTTTGGCAGAATTTGGCTATTTTTTACATCAGGGTTTTTGTTTGTCTTCACCAGCCATGTAACGCTCAGGAAACCCCTGCAGTTCTGAGAAAACCCAACAACCTGTTTTGGTAATAAGAAAGTCTTAAAAGATTAAGTACTCTTTGGGTGTTAGCAGTCCCTCAAACATGACTTATTTTTATATGAATTTATTTTTTCTAAAAGTGTCCAGTGGTGCTCCTAGAAAATTTTCATGGGGGGACCAGTTGGGGCCAGCAAAAATTTTGCAGATGACACAGCCAATCTGTCCCTTTGGTAACTCTGAGAGAGTTTAGCTTGTAGCTGTGCATTAAATATTCTCTTTCTCACACACACACACACACACACACACACACACACACACACACACACACACACACACACACACACACACACACACACACACACACACACAAATACAGTAGGCTTGTGCATCCAACACAGTCACCTCAAATTTGAGAAGAGCAAACATTTCAGAAAGAAAGTGAAATCTCAGACAGTTATTTGAGTTACTGTTCCATATTTTATTGTTCTAGAATTTTAAATTTACCTCTAGCTGTCTCAAACATAGACTTTTGGGACTAATACGTTTTTTTAATAATCAGTGTAACACACACATTTTATTTGTGATTTATTAAACTAATAATTGATTAAGATGTTATTAAAGTAAATGTATTTGTTGGCTTTAACATTTATGTCTTGATTAAAGAGGACAGATGTATGGTTTGTGTGAACAAGAATGTGATTTATTAAGGTGTGGCCACCATTTTCCAGGGTGGTGGCCATGGCCCCCCCCTGGCCACCCCTTGGGGCCACCACTGAAACTGTCCCAAAGCATATTTAAGTGGTGCTTTCAATATTAGTTGTTGAATTCTAACTGTGTTCTAAGTGAGCAGCTACAAATGTGAGAAATGTGATGCAAAAATAATCTAAATCCTGATTACATTACTACTAAAACTGTCCACCTGGACTGAAAACTTCAGTTAGTACTTTATCATAGAATTATGTACTTCCTGTATGCTTTTCACACCTGTAGTCAGTTCTTGCCACACCTTAATGATCCACTTTTCTTTGTCCCTCCCTGCTTTTACGCTACCCCAGGGGTTCCCAGATTGGGGGTCAGGACTCCTGAGGGGGTCCCCACAAGTTTGCAGGGGGTCTCCACAATTTTCTCTTTGCTAAGGTTGTGTGGTTAACAAGATTTCATTTTGAAAAAAATTACATTTATAAAATCCCAATAACATACCATACAGTACAATTAGAACTCCGTATATAAGTTATAACTCTGTATAAAGATAGTAAATGATCATATTTAATGTGTGTATGTGTATAGGACTTGGGGTTGGGGGTCCTGGCTTGTCTTGGACACGAGCAAGGGGGTCCTCAAAGAAAATATTTTGGGAACCCCTGCTCTACCCCATGTATCTTCCCTTTGCTTTCTAGGTTTATGCCTTGGATTTCTTTTGTCAGTTTTCTGATTTAGACCCTGATTATTTTTGTGTTGCATGACAATATCAGAAGGAACTTTTTCAGGCTCCTTGGACCAAAGGTGGCTGCCATGCCTGTTTCGGTTCAACTCTCACTCTAACAGAATGTGTCACAGCTCCCACTTTCGTGCCAAACTCAGTCACCAAATCAACAATCACTTTAAAAACACAGATTTAAAATAGATAAAACGTAAAGAGCCAAGCCTTTTCCACCGCTAAAGTGCACCGCATTGTGAAAAGATTCAGAGGAATTCTCAGTGTGTAAAGGCCAAGGCCAGAAATCACTGTTGGACATGTGTGTGACCTTTGAGTTCTTGGGCAGCGCCGCATGAAAACCCCTCATGTAGCCCCTCAACACAGAGAAGTCCATTGTCATTTCACACAATCCTTCACTTAATCCTGACATGCAACCTGAAACGTTATCCTGCAAAGAGGAAGTCATCTCTCTGGACACAAAGGAAATAAAGACCATCCACGCTGTTGTGATTTTCACGCACCAGCACTCTTTTGCCTAAAATCAGACCCATGTACGGAAAAATAAATAAATATGTGTGAGCTGTCGGATTCTAGAATCAGATAAAAGTGGTGCTTACTGTTTAACTCAGCCTGATTCACTGTTTCCTCTTAATTAGAGTAAGTTAAACCATTGTAGCAACATGCCTAAAGCTAAAAACTTGTCTTTCTGTGTGTGAAAAGGAAATATTTTGAAGTTGACAAGAAATGTTTTTATTTTGCAGAGATGCTAATGACTGTACGGCCAATCAGCAGCAGCCTTTCTAGGAGGTTCTAAAAGTTATTGGTGTTTGAAACATGACTCACCTGTGCTCTCAGAAAGCTGGGGGAACTCATAGATGTGTTCACAGGTGTTACAGCTGTTTGGGATACAGAACCCAAAGTCAAAGTCAAAGCTCTTCAGCAGGTGGTCATGAAAATAGTGCCTCTCGATCATGCGAAAGTTGTTTAGAGGTCGGTTCCCGACTGTGAATTCCACCCTGGTTATATAAAGAAATGGAAAAGAGGAGATTTAAAGGTAACAGGGCTGTGATGCAGTTACTGTTGGTGCAGACAGTAGAGCAGTCAATGGGGTGTGTAGCTGATAGACAATAATGCTGTTATTGTTTTCATTGTCTGTTTGGATCAGGTGAGTGAGTCTGTCTTAGGTGTGGAGGACGTGTGAGTCACTCACGTAGCTCCCACGTTCCTCAGCCGCAGGAAGGCCGGGGTGAACTGGTAACGTACAAATCGGCCTGCGCTGACATCTCGCTCCCTGTGCTCTTCGTCCTCATCTTTCAACAAGATTAAATCAAGTTATTCCACATCCTTTACAGGCATCTCTACTGGGTTTTCTTTACATTTCCAGACTAAAGGTACTGTACCTGAATGTGGAGGTTTGGAGATCTCAAACAGGACAGTATTGGTTTCCAGCTCTCTGATCTTAAAGCGCACAAAGTCTATGTTATAAATGTTGTCTTCGAGTTTACAGAGATACCCTGAAACAAGGGCAAGCAGAAGACATGAGTTATAAACGGCTATATACAGGCCAGTTTATTAGGTACATTTTGCTAGCAAGAAGATAACAACAAGCTCTACTAATCTCTGTGTAAAGAAAAGAACCAAAAAAAATGGAACCTTGTTAGATGATTCTTCAAATGATGGATCCAGCAAGTGTTAGAGTTTCTGGTCCATATTGACATGATAGCATCACAGTTCCATCCATAATGCCAGCCTCCCATTCCACCCCACCCAAAAAGGTTCCGGACAGGATAGTGATCTGGTGACTTTGAACGCCGCTGGAGTTCAGTGAACCCTTTTTATGTTCTAGAAACCAGTTTGAGATGATCTGAGCTTTGTGACATGGTGCATTATCCTGCTGGACGTATGTCAGAAGATGGGTCCACTGTGGTCATAAATGGATGGACATGAACAGCAACAACCAAATATCACTAACCCTAACCCCACATCCGCATCTGTCCTGTACCACTGATAGAAGGCAGGATGGATCCATGCATTTTACAGCAAGAAATTCTGATCCAAAAAGCTGTCCTGTCCCACTACATCCCAAAGGTCCTGGACTGGACTGAGATCTGGTGATTGCTGCAGCTGAAATCAAGATTCATCAGAACAGAAAATATTTTTCCAATCTCTTACTGTATATTTCTGGTGTGGTCTCCTCCTGCTGGATACCCATCTACTTCATATTTCTGCAGACCTTACCTGTATGAAGTGGATATTAGAGAGCTATACTGTTGCTGTTCTAGGGGTGCTCAATCCTGGTCTTGGTGGGCTGGTATCTAGCATATGAGTTGTTTTTCTGCTTCAACATGCCTAATTTTAATCAGCAGGTGATTATTCTGCAGAGCCTGTTGAGATGCTGTACAGCTGATTCAACCACTGAATCAAGAGGAACAGTAAAAACATGCTGGATACTGACCCAGGACTGAGATCCTCTGATCCAATCTGCCCAGGCTACTCCGACTTCAGGCGTAAGCAGGATTTTAATCCACACAACTGCTGTTCATTAGATATTTACTTTTTTTTTGGACCATGCGCCCCATGACACCCCCCCCCCCCCCTCCTCCTCCAGAGGGTTGTGGGGGGAAGTCCTAGATGGGATTGCCATGTGATTGATTACGTGGCCCAGTGAGTATTATACTGTGATCTTTTTTACTCTTACAAAGAACCCTGGAGAAGGGCCTTGATGCAGTTTTGGTGATGCCGTAAATCTACAGGACTTTTGAGAAGATTATTCACAGTAAATGTTGAAGTTACATCACCACAAGTTGTCATCGGTTATAATTGTTCCACACACCCAGTGTCCTCTGGGCTGGTTAAATATAGAAACAACAAAGACAGCCTTCTTAAGTCCAAATGCTGTTTGTCTTATAATTTGTCCACATAATCACAACATTGCAGTCTATTATAACATGTTTCATCCTGCATTTATTTTCTAACAATTAGACATTTCAACCCGTTTAACTAAAATTTGGTTCATTATGGATTTGTTTGTTCCTGTCGAATCTGTTTATGTTGAGTTATTCAGCAATAGAGTCCCAACAAAAATAGAGTCAACCTCTGGTAGCCGCTTGCAGTCCCATCACATCCTCTGGAGAAATCGGTTCACTTTTTCTCCGCAGCTCTTCCTCTGTGACGGGCCTGCTGTCCACCTGGCTCTTTCGAGACTTGAGCCTCTTCAGGACTCCTCCGCCGGATTTGCGGTCACGCGGAGGAACCGCAGAACTGTGCCCGCCTCCGCCGCCACCGTATACATTGTCAGCAACAGGCGCATCGCTGCGGGCTTTGGCTCCGCTCATGGCTCACTTTCCTCGGCTTCCCTGGGGGACTCGACGGCAGCGCGGCGCCTGGTGTCTCCCCGCCCCACACTGAAACAAAAAGAAAAATGGTGGCAGACGTTCAGAGAATCATGGGTGAATGGCCAGCTGCTTGTTTTTGTAAGCGCATACTGTAGTTGCCACGACAACTGGCTCAGTGAGCTGGAGATGGATGTGAGCGATCCAAAGAAATTACCACCAGATAGCGACAGAGAGACCCGAGAACAAAAAATAAGTAAACGAGTAAAACGAATTAAACATAAATAAGAAATAGAGGCAAAGAGGCTAAATGCACCTAATGTTTTCATTTGGTAAATTTAAAAGCCTAATTCAATTCAATTCAATTTAAAAATACTTTATTAATCCCAGAGGAAAATTGATTGCTATAGTAGCTCAGAATAATAATAATAATCAAGTCACCAAAGAGTTATTGTATATTACAATGGCTGTTGGCAGGAAGGATCTCCAGTAGCGGTCAGTGTTGCAGCGAAACTGAAGAAGCCTCTGACTGAAGACACTCTTTCGTTGTCGGACAGTCTTGTGAAGAGAATGCTCAGGGTTGTCCATACTTTTCTTGATTCTCTGGAGAATCCTTCTTTGCATTGCATTATCTCCTTCAGTGGTTCCACAGTCGTCCCCAGAACAGAACCAGCCTTTTTTATTAGGCTGTTGAGCCTTTTTAGGTCCCTGCTTCTGATGCTACTCCCAACAGATGATGGCTGAAGAGATTACACTCTCAACAACAGACTTGTAGAAGATCTGCAGCATCTTGCTACAGACACTGAAGGACCTAAGCGTCCTCAAGAAGTGCAGTCTGCTGTGTCCCTTCTTGTAAACGGCTTCGCTGTTCTTTCTCCAGTCCAGTCTGTTGTCCAGGTGAACTCCAAGGTATTTGTATTCCTCAACTACCTCCACTTCTTCCCCCATGATGGAAACACTGTTTGACTCCACCCACTTTCTTGTGAAGTCTAAAATCATCTCCTTTGTTTTGTTCACGTTCAAGGTCAGATGATTGTTTCATGCCACAAAGCGCTCCACCAGCTCTCTGTACTCAGCTTCCTGTCCATCTCTGATACACCTGACAACTGCAGAGTCATCTGAGTATTTCTGTAGATGACAGGTCTGGGATTTGTACTGGAAGTCTGAGGTGCACAGGGTGAAAAGAAGTGGTGAGAGTGCAGTCCCCTGTGGTGCTCCAATGTTACTGATCGCCTGGTTTGATGTGCAGTTCTTCAGCCTCACAAACTGTGGTCTGTTTGTCAGGTAGTCTTTAATGCAGGCGATAGTTGAGGCCCCACCTGTGTCTTCTGGAGTTTCTGGCAAAGTACATCAGGCTGGATTGTGTTAAATGCACCAGAGAAATCAAAGAACATGACCCTCACAGTGCTCCCGGCTTTGTCCAGATGACAGTGGATTGATTGAAGCAGCTGGATGATGCATCTTCAACTCCAACTCCATGGCGATAAGCAAACTGCAGCGGGTCCTGATATGTTCTAGTTTGCTTATTCAGGTGGACCAACAGGAGTCTCTCCAGGACCTTCATGATGTAGGATGTCAGGGCAACCGGTCTGTAGTCATCATTGACTGATGGGCGAGTTTTCTTTGGAAATGGAACAAGGCAGGATGTCTTCCACAGGAATAGTACCTTCTCCTGGGCCAGGCTGAGGTTGAAGAGGTGCTGCAGAATCCCACAGAGCTGCTCTGCACAGGCCTTCAGTACTCTGGGGCTGACACCATCTGGACCTGCAGCCTTGTTCCTGTTCAGTCTCTCCATCTGCCTCTTCACCTGACTTCTAGAGACAGATAGGTGGAAGGGGGAGGTAAATGGGGCAGCAGCATCTCCTGACTTGGTTAAAGACAGATTTATAGAACCAGAAGAGTCAATGACTGCGTTAGAGGACAAAAGAGCTGGCATGTGACAGGAAAATGTTGGATCAGAGGAGGATGGGATGTCTGATTGGCTGGGGACAGGTGAGGAGGATGCTGGGTTTGTTCCTGAACTGAACCTATTAAAGAACTTGTTCAGTTCATTGGCTGTGTCCAGGCTGCCATCTGTGCAATCCTTCCTCTGCTTGAACCCTGTGATCTTCTTCATCCCTGACCAGACATCTCTGATATTGTTCTTCTGTAGTTTGCTCTCAAGCTTCTTCCTGTATGCCTCCTTGCTGTCTCTGATCTTGATCTTCAGTTGCTTCTGTATACTCCTCAATAATTCCCTGTCTCCCTCCTTGAAGGCTCTTTTTTTCTCATTTAGCAGATTCTTCAGTTCACTGATGATCCAGGGTTTGTTATTAGCGAAGCATCTCACTGTTCTGGTGGGTATGATGTTGTCCACACAGAACTTTATATAGTCAGTGACACATCCAGTCATGGCATTGATGTCCTCTTCATATCCTTGGCATAGAGTCATCCAATCTGTGGTCTCAAAACAACTCTGCAGGGCTTCTTCAGCGTCCTGTGACCATTTTCTCACAGTTATTCTTGTCACAGGTTGCCTTTGAACAAGTGGTTTGTATTCTGAGCAGAGAAAAACAAGATTGTGATCTGATTGTCCCAGAGGAGGTCTTGTTTTGGATATGTATGCGTTCTTTACATTTGCATAACACAAATCCATTGTCTTGTTTTCTTTGGTGGAGCAGCTGACCAACTGTTGAAATGTTGGAAGTGTAGCAGAGAGCGAGGCATGATTAAAATCACCAGATATAGCCACAAATGCATTAGGGTGCTGGGTTTGTAGCTTAGCGACAACGGAACTGATGGCATCACATGCATTCTCAGCAATGGCTGAAGGTGGAATATAAACGGTTGCCAAGACAACACTGGTGAACTCTCTTGGCAAATAATATGGGCGACAACTTACTGCCAAGAGTTCAACATCTGGGCTGCAGAGACGACATTTCACTGAAACATGACCTGGATGGCACCATCTGTTGTTGACAAGCACTGCCACTCCACCTCCTTTTCTTTTCCCGCTCCTCTTCAGATTTCTGTCTGCTCGTACAGTCAGGAATCCTGGCAGAGAGCTGCTGCAATCGGGGATATGGTCCTTCAGCCATGTCTCAGTGAAACACATAACACTACACTGCCGATACTAACGTAGGCTACTTATTATTATGTTTAATGATAATATTAATAATAATAATAATAATAATAATAATAATAATAATCTTTGCCACAATGACTTGCTTCAACAGTAGGCTAATCCAAATTTCGTCTGACATTTCTATGAAGGAAAAACTCTAAAAAGCCATCTTTCGTAGATTTACGGTGACCTCACTGCCGTGTTACCTGTTCTAAATGTGCATGGTGGAAACGCAAATTAACTTTGTAAAGGCCCGGGTTTAATGCAAATTCGTGTATGTGAATGTTGATGGGCAGTTCCTCTTGTTAAAATCCCCAGGAAGCCTCAGCTACATCCACGAGGTCATATTCATTTTCTCTTTGGGTGAGTGGAGTCTTTTCATGTCTGTTCAAACTCGCTTATCCAGTCCGCGGGAAAAAAACAAAGCTAGAAAGAAAAACACTGAATACTTATGGTTTGAATTTTCAAAAGAAAAGTCGTTTTCGTTCTTTTTTTCATAGTGTAATTTAAAAATATTTTTATTGTATACAAATACATATAAAATAATTTAAAAGGGGGGAGGGGGATCTGCTTTACAAATTACAAAAATATTTTTGAACTAAGTAAATTATGGAGAAAATAGAAATTATCGACAACTTGCCCAAATAGACAGTCGGGAGGCAGACAGTCATCTATCTATCTATCTATCTATCTATCTATCTATCTATCTATCTATCTATCTATCTATCTATCTATCTATCTATCTATCTATCTATCTATCTATCCATCTATCTATCTATCTATCTATCTATCTATCTATCTATCTATCTATCTATCTATCTATCTATCTATCTATCTATCTATCTATCTATCTATCTATCTATCTAATCTATAGGTGCTTAATGATTTATTATTGTGCTACTGCTACTACTTTTATACACAGTTTCATGCAATACTCCACAAGATTAAATTACTAGTTAGGCTATATGCTTTTATTCTGAAATCCCAGCTCATAATTTCCCGTTTATCGTTGTTTCTCACGTTAACTTGATGGCGGACCATTACTGCTTGAGCTGAGGCGGGCAAAGGGAGTGTCCGCTGGCTGGGTGGAGATGGAACAGCGCTCTGACGTCTTGTTACTGAGAATGACTTGAAAGAAGACTAAAAACACTGTTTGACAACAGCGCAGCAGGCGAGACAGTCACGGAAAGCAGAGAAATAGCTTTTCTAGCGACTTCTTCCCGCTTCCATTCATCGCCCGTCTGTATGACAGCGTGAAAACACAAGGTAAGACAACCCTAAACTTTACACTGCCAATGTTTGTGTGACGAGATGTTTATGTTAGTAGCAGGTGCACATCTTTACATCTTTAATGATTCACTCAGACGAGTTACAAAAACCTGGCATTCATCTATCGTGCACGTTTCTGACTTGTTCTGGTTGGAGTTCACAGTAACCTGTTTATTAGTCACGTATAAACAAGTATAAACAACTATAACACACGCGTTTATTCGTGTAAATGTAAACCGTGGCACGTTGTTGCGATATTTGAGCCGAAACTGGCTCTAAACAAAGAAAGGTTTCACCCACCACCACAGCGCAGGGAAATCAAAGTAAACACTAAAACCTAAAGCAGCGCAGCCTTGGCATGGGGACATGAAGCAAAGGCAAACAGAGATAAAGAAGCTTAAAAGCCTGTCAACAGAAAAGCTGCGGCTCAATCATTTCATATGAATCCAGAAAAAGAGTTAAGGTGTAGCTTTATCTTATTTCTTATGAAATTCAGCTGTAAAAATAAAATAAAATAGAGGGAAACATAATTCACACACACACACACACACACACACACACACACACACACACACACACACACACACACACACACACACACACACACACACAGTCATGTTTTATGTTTAAGCAGTGTAGCAACATAGCACACACTACATATACAATAGTATATCTCCTGCCTGAGATCCCAGCTCATACACTGGCCATACCAGAGAGAATATTTAACTGATGCTGTGTTGAATTGCAACAAAGTGCTCTGTGTGGAGTTACCTGTTTGCGCAAAAAGAATTACAGGCCCAACCAGATGCTGCAAACAATGCCCGAGGTATTTAATGAATCATTCAAGAAAACACAGTCTTTTTTTTTTTTACATTTGGGGTTTGGATATTTCTCATCTTCACAATACTCACGTGCTGCTCTAAACATTTTTTTCTACTTTGCTCATTTTTTTTTTGTATTCAGATAAGTTAATATTGTGGTTAGACTGTTATCTCTGTGCAATGCCTGTTAGAAACTCGTGATGACTCATCAAAGCTACTTCAGTTACAGACAGTGTTGCCTGCATGTGAATTTTAATTTTCCTTTGGAAAAAATGACAACACCGAAGATCAACCTGTTTCTACGAACTCTTTGAGTTTTAATCGTCCTTTAAAGAATATCTGTGAATGTTGCCAAGAACACGTTGTCTTCAGTTCTTAAGAAATGTGTGTGGTGTTGCTTTTTAACTAAACACATGATAAAAATCGGTTAATTTACATGGGGCAGTTTGTGATTGTGGGGTTTGTAAAGACAAGCACTACAAAGTTAATTACATGTAATTATTTCAAACTGTACACTCTAGTTTAGTCTGCACAATGGTCCTCACAGATTCTGTCTGATTCTGGTTTTTTGTCTCACTTCATACTTAAAAAGTTATCTGACCCTTAAACCTAATTACTGGCTGTAACACTCATGGAGGTAACAACTACAATCAGGCATTTGTGATCACTGCTAATGAGTCTTTCACATTGCTGTGAAGGAATTCTGACTCATTCTTCTTTGTACATTTATCGTAATTCAGCCATGTTGATGGATTTTCGTGCATGGTCTTTTTAAAGTCATACCACAGCTTCTTAGTTGGATTTAAGCCTGGGTTTTGACTAGACTTCTACAAAACGTCAATTTTATCTTTTCTTTATTCTTTTCTTTTGAGCCATTGAAAGGTGATAGATGAACCATTCTCAAGTGAGCTTTAATTTAAGATGAAAAACTTAAGGTTGGACATCCTTTAGGGTTTTCTGGTAGAGAACAGAAGTTCCCTCAGTTACAGTAAATAGTCCTGAACCAGCGCAGAAGCCCCAGACCATCAAACTACCACCACCTTGCTTGGTATGGTGTAGAGCAGTGACTGCCAAAGTTGGGGTTGGGACCTCTCAATATGGGTCTCCAGAAACTACACAGGGGGTCACGAGAGGATTTTCAGAAATCAAAATAAAATGGAAAACAATTGCTGAAGCTAGTTCTATCATCATTGTTACAAAAACTCAAAGAAGTTGTTATAATGGGCTTAAATGAATATGAGTTCAAGTGGTTTTCCTCAATGCCTTGAAGTATTTTGATAGTTTATATTGTCAAGTCAGAGATAGCTGGGTTAGCATGTCTTGAATTTCTATTTTGAAGCTGAAAAGTTTGGGAATCACTCAGTGTGTTGACATTCGCACCAGAAAACCGAAGTATTGCCCTAAAAAGACTAAAAAGTTTTTTTTTATTGCATGTAAACGCGTAAATCTGGTTGATGGTGAACTGGTTGTAATCGAGCTGAAGCACCCAGATAATGCGGTAGCAATCCGAATACAATCTGCATGTAAACGGGTCGGCTGAACTAAACCGCTATGACGCTCACATTACGAAATTGACGAGACCACGGAAGCGGTCTTCTGACAAGACCATCGTCACAAAGCAACACACGTAAAACCATAAAACAGGACTGTATGTACCAAATAAGCTGTGTGTTGTTGTGCATTCCTTCAGCCATTGTCCATTTCCTGTTTCAATTCCATCTGCATCATTCCTGCCAGGGTTCTAGGACTCTAGAAAATGCTATATTAAATACAAGCTATTTACCATTTATCATTCCTCTAGATCAGGGGTGTCAAACATGCGGCCCGCGGGCCGGATCCAGCCCGCAAGCGGGTTAAATCCGGCCCGCGAGATGGTTGTGTAAACTTCATTTTCATACTTTACAATGTAGAGTTAAAATAAACTTATCTTTGTGAGCAAGTTTGATCTGTAATGAGTATAAATTAAACAAAGCTGCGCTCAAGGCTCACACAAAAACTTGAATCACATCCTGAAGTTGGCCGCCACTCAGGATGTGACTTCTGATATTGATGTGCTGGTGAAAGCTAAAAGATGTAAAGTAAAATGAGTCAAATATACTTTAAGTGCTGCATGAAACTGATCTTGCCATGTGATCTGTAAGCTATTTGAATCACTAAGGAATGTTTTTATTTGTTGATTTTTTTTTTTTTTTTTTTTTCAAATTTTCAAGTACACTTCAGGTGTTGTACTTGTACTATTTTGGATACACTGTCCTCAGGCTCCACCCTTGTTTTATATTGATTGTTTTAAAACAAAGAAAACAATCTGAAGTATTTTTTTAATTTACCGGTCCGGCCCACTTGGGACTAGATTTCCCTCAATGTGGCCCCTGAGCTAAAATGAGTTTGACACCCCTGCTCTAGATGTAATGGGACCCACACCTTCCAAAAAAGTCTACATTTGTCCCAAATGTCTTAGGGATCATCAAGATGATTTTGTCATGGTCTGTGTCTCTTTGTGTTCCTCTTGTGTCCCCTGGTCTTCAGCCCTCCAGATATTCCCTCTTAGGTCCTGTGTTCCTTCAGTCTCCCCACCATAATTTCCATAGTCTATTATTCCAGTTTTGTGTGTGGTGTGTGTGTGTTTATTTCCTCCTCTAGCTAGGTGTGTGTGTGTGTGTGTGTGTGTGTGTGTGTGTGTGTGTGTCCTTTCCCAGTTAGGTCTGGTGTCCTCACCTGCTCCTCCTCCCTGATTAGTTATCACTTTCACCTGGTTCTCTCCCTTCACACCTGCAGCTCATCATCCTCCCATTATGCCCCAGTGTATTTAAGCCCTGTCTTGTATCAGTGTCTTGTCGGTCCATTGTTGTATTGTTGTCTGTGTTTGTTTGTGCTCTAGTTGAGCTTTGTGTCTTTAGTGTTCTATGTGAGCTTTGGGTGTCCTGTGTTCCAGGACTTTTGGATTTTTGGCTTGCTGCCTGTGGATTTATTTTGTTTCTTCCTGCCAAATAAAAGGAATGTTACTTTTTTACCAACTCCTGCCTCTTGTCGTCTGGGTAATCTGCACTTTGGGTCCTAAACATCCCCGCAACATGACAGATTTTAGTAAATGTTGTAGAGGTTTTGGGCTTGGTTCTCTTCCGTGGAGGGCATTTTTGCTCCCAGTGTAATTCCTATGGTTTGTTCTTGAATTCTGATCTTAATCTTGACCAAGTAAGGCCAGCAGGGCTTTAGATGTCCTGGGATTTTTTGTTCGATTGTATGATGTGTTGCTTTTTGGGATCTTTTAGCCTTCATGTTTTCAGGGAGGTCCCATTATATTAGTCATACAGTATGAGCCCTAGATTAACTCAGCTTTCCAAATATTGTGGTTAATCCCTGTTAATCCATGATTTACCAAGGGGTTATTATATTTTTACCCCGAGTTGGTTGGTTTGGATAGGTTTTTCCCCCTTTTTAATACATGGAATCATTTTAAAATGTGTTCTGTATTACTCAGCTTGCATTTGTCAGTGAGTGTCACAGAAAAGAACAAAAAGAAGGCATTTTGTTATTTATCATTGAAACAGATCACTGAAAACCAAGCAGAAAAAAACGAGACATCAGATAAAACTGGTTAGTGTCTGTTTTGTGTGATTGATCTGTTTCACTTTACCTTTTAGGCAGAAGAGTGCTTTAAAAAATCTGGACCAACCAGACACATCCAGTCCTCTTTGAAGCAACATAACCAGCTTATTTTCAACTGAGAGTGATCAAGTATTTTTAGTGTAAACATTTACATTTCTGTTAGTTAACCCATGTGTTCCCTCTATTCTCAAGGGCTTAAGCTATGGAGAGCTCAGTCGAGGCTTCCCAAAGCGGACAAAACCCAAAACCATCTTTGGGCTCCAAACCTCTGCTCACTCCCAAGCCTTTCTCTGTGAAGAACAGTACACAAATCCGCTCCATCAATGCTCCAAGATCCGTAAAAGTTAGGTCTTGGTCACAAACAGAACTGGCTGATGAATCGAAGCCCACTGGTGGCCCTCAATCAGATTCAACTGCTCCTGCTCTAAAATCACCTCAGCCAACTTCTAAATCAGCCTTCAGACCCAGACCTGTTAGTATGCCAATTGAAACCCTTCTAGATCCAACCAAAGCAGATGATTATGTACCACAGAAGGAGGATAGTCCTGATTCTGTAGTACCAGATGGAGCCCCTAAACTCGCTCCATCTAAAGAGACAGTGAATCCAGAACCTGTCCAGAAAGACGCTGATGCCCAAACAAATCACAAAACATCCACTGGTGCTGTTTCTAACTCAGAGCAGAAGGATGAAAATGAGATGAATACAACTCTGGTTTCTGCTCCCCAAACGCCCGAAGAACCAGCCAGCGAAATTCCCTTCATAATCAGCGGTCCCAGGAAGCGCCTGTCCATGGCGCTCACCTCCAGGTTTGAGTCAGGTGGCGTGCTGCTACCCCCTCAACCAGTGAAGACCACCACTAAACCCAACACCAAATGCCTCTCAGTTAAAACAGTGTCTTCTGAGCCAGAGCAACAGCAGGCAGCACCGAATCCTTCAAACAATGAGAGCAGCTCTGATGATCAGGAGGAAACCTCCAACAAAATATACAGCATCCAAAACAGAATTGATCGTCTGTTTGGCTCGGTAACAAGGCGGGGAGTCACGGCCAAGAAAGAGGAGCCGGATGTCACCGATGGTATCGGTGGTGTGAAGGAGCAGATCAAGAACTGGTCAGCAGAAACGGGTTCTGAGAGTCCAAAGTCAGAGAAGATGCCCAGGGTTCTCTCCAAGAGGTGAGCAAGACTTTTTTTTTTTTAAATCTGTGTGGAGTTTGTGTTTGGATACAAGACCAGGCATGATTAAACAGAACAGATTCAATCGAGAGTGACTTTTGTTTTGAAATTGTGACACTGAACCTGTTTTTGGTTTTTTGTAACTGCTAGTGTAGGTTGTGATGAGATTTTAGATTTTGTTTAGAGCTTTGGGTGTCGTCTCTGACAGCTTTTGCCAAAACTAGTAGCTGTAAACATTTTCAGGCGAGTCTCAAACAGTAGCAGCAACGTTTGAAAAGTTCTTTGTAATATTTTTAGTGAGTAAAAAGGGAAATGTTGCCAGATTTATAAAAACCCAAGGCCAGTTTCTGTCCACAACAAACGGATGGAAGGATGCATATACTCTGTCAAGGTAGGGAATGAATTTTAAGTTAAAGTCCCATTAGTTGTCACACACACTGATGTGTGTGCAAAATTTGTTCTCTGCATTTGACCCATCCCCTGGGGGAGCGGTGAGCTGCAGGCACAGCCGCGCTCGGGAACCATTTGGTGGTTTAACCCCCCCAATCCAACCCCTTAATGCTGAGTGTCAAGCAGGGAGGCATTGGGTCCCATTTTCCTAAGTCTTTGGTATGACCAGACCAGGAATCGAACCCTGATATCCCAGTCTCAGAGCGGACACTCTACCACTAGGCCACTAAGCTGGTTTTGAGTTTAGACACCAAACTAAAGGTACACATGATTAAAACTTCTTTTTTAATCATTGTTTTACTAGATGGTTAGGCTTTTTCTTTTTGCATTATCCAATTGAGCTAAATTGATTATAATTCTAGTTTACGGAAAGTCATTTGACATGACTGCTGTTGTTTAATCTGATGAACGTAAAACTTTGTATGTTGTTCATAGCACAGAAAACGGCAAGAACGCTGAAACCAGAGATTGCTGTGAGCCACATTGTTGAAAAGCCGAACGGCACCGGAGTCCCATTCCTCAGAATTGAATCACTACTTGCAGTGCAGAATTAACACCAACCAAAAATAGCACCATCAGAACACTGAACAAGAGACAGACAACAGCCAACACAATCTTAGTAAAAAAAAAAACACACCTGAAAAACACCAAAATAGGACAAAATAACTGAAAATCCACTACCCACAATGCACCTCACCTGCTGCCTGTTCAGCAGTGGGCAGGTTCACTACAGTGGTTCTGAAGAAGTGACTGTGGAACAAGCAGCAGGCGAGGTGCATTGTGGGTAGCCAGGTTCCCAGCTGTTTGTTCTATTTTGGTGTGTTTTGTTGGGGTTTTATTGCCAGTGTTGTGTTGGATGTGGTTAGTCTTCTGTTCAGTGTTCCAAGGGAGTGAGGGTTGGGGGAACCCTAGAAGAAAACATCTTGGTTAGTAGAAACTAACTGTTAGCATTAGCAGCTCCACCACACAGCAGAGCTCCTCCAGGTTTGTGTTATTTGTGGAGATAAAACATCAGCGTTGCAAAGCAAACAGAGTCAGTGGTAGAGTTACATTCTTATTCAATTTGAGACAAAATGTCAGAGTTTCAGGAAATAAGACTCCATATCCTGTCGTCTGAAGCTCAGCTCTGGTGTGGCTCACTTCTAGTTCCTGAAAAGAGTGAACTCAAGCTTTTTACCTCCAGAGTACAACTTGCAAGGCATTCATTCACACAAGCGACCACTGCAAATTCATTGATTAAACGAGAGATCCACACATCCTCGACTAACCACAAAAGAAATGATAAGACACTGACCTTCTTGCTGACAGAGTCATTAAACGATGCAATTCGTAGGTCTGTTTACCTGAAATGGTGAGATGTGTTATTTCCTGAACAGTTTTTCACAGCTACTGACTTTCTGCATTCCAGTTAGGTTCTGAGTGAACCGGGAAGAAATTTAGCATTTTTTTTCTCTCTCTTCCAGTAACTCAGGGAAACATTAACAGTAAAACTACAACTTGCTTCAATATTTAACTGATCCAAACAGACATTTGAGGTGAATTATTTCTGCCTTTAAGCATGATTAAACCACATGATCCATCCATCCATTGTCTGAACCCACTTCGTCCTCGTAGGGTCGCGGGGGGGCTGGTGCCTATCTCCAGCGGTTAAACCACATGATATGATTGCTATTTTCTCTGCAGCATTGAGCCAGCAGCTGTTTCCCCATCAGAGAAAACACCTGACAAGATTACGGTGGAGGCTCCTGTTGCAGATGAGAAGTCCACTCAGAGTGTTGATCCACAGCAGATGGTTTCCCCTGCTGAACAACCAACAAAAGAAGCTTCCACTGAAGAAAAATTACCAGGAATCTCAACTGCCACCCCTGGAGAGAACAACCAAACCACAGAAGGTACTGTTCAGCTACGCCGACCTCGTACAACAGACGGTGCTGCAGACAACGAGGCAAGGAGGAGCCTGCGTCGCTCTGTTCGCTTTGGTGTCGTGGAGTCAGATGATGGGTCACCTCCAAAGATACTTAGTTCCGATCCTGAATCTAGTTCAGAGGAAGAAGAAGTAGATGAAGAGAATGAGAAAGATGATCACGTTTCAGGTACAAGGCTCAAATTAGAACGGAAAGAAAAATGGATAAATCTGGATTTTCAAAAGAAAGCGAAAGAGGAGGAAATGCAGACTAATAATTCAGAAAAGTCATTAAGTAAGAACATAGAGTCCATAACCAGCAAACCGGCAGAGAAAAGTGAGAGTCAACTGTTAGAAACCAAGAAAAGAGAGGAGGAGGTGCTGAAGGAAGAAGAGATAGAAAAACAAAGACACGTGAAGCAGAAAGAGCTGGAAGAGCAAAGAAAGAAGGAAAATGATAAACTAAGGGAGGAGGCAAAGGAAAGAGAGAGGCTAGAGGAGGAGAAGAGGAAGGAGAGACTAAGACTGGAGAAGGAGAGGCTCAGAGAGAAAGAAAGACAGGAGGAGGTTATGAGAGAGAAGCTGAGACAGGAGGAGGAAGAGAGGAGGAAGGAGGAACAAAGAAGAGAGGAAGAGGAGAAGAGGAAGGAGAAACAGAGACTGGAGGAGGAGAGGCTGAAGGAGAAACTAAGACAGGAGGAGGAAGAGAGGAGGAAGGAGGAACAGAGAAGAGAGGAGGATGAGAAGAGGAAGGAGAAACAGAGACTGGATGAGGAAGAGAAGAGGAAGGAGCAACAGAGAAGAGAGGATGATGAAAAGAGGAAGGAGAAACAGAGACTAGAAGAGGAAGAGAAAAGGGAGAAACAGAGACAGGAGGAGGAGGAGAAACTGAGACAGAATGAAATTATGAGAGAGAAACTGAGACAGGAGGAGGAGAAGCTAAAAGAGAAACAAAGACAGGAGGAGGAAACACTGAGGGAGAAACAGAGACAAGAGGAGGAAAAACTGAAAGAGAGACAAAGACAGGAAGAGGAGATGCTGAGGGAGAAACAGAAACAGGAGGAGGATAGACTGATAGAGAAACTGAGACAAGAGGAGGAGAGACTGAGGGAGAAAATGAGACAAGAGGAGGAGAAGCTTAGGCAGAAGCAGAAACAGGAGGAGAGATTGAGCACGAAACAGCGAGAGGAGGATGAAAGGCTGAAGGAGGAACAGAGACAGGAGGACATTCTGGAAGAGAAACTTAGACAAGAGGAGGAGAAGAGGAAGGAGAAACAGAGACAGGACGAGAAGGAAAATAGGAAGGTGCTACAGGAGAAAGAGTTGGAGAGGAAGAGAAGTAAGGAGAAAGAAGAAGAGGCGAGAAAGAGAGTTGTGGAGAAAGAAAGAGCTGATGTGCAGCTGGACCTGCAGACACAGAAGACAGTGAGAGAAGGAGACAGAACAGAACCTGAGACAGGAGCAGAGAGTGGATCGGACGAAAAGGAGGACAGTCTCATCTGGTGTGACTCTGAAGAGTTTTCTCAGAAGACAGAATCATCAAACGTAGACGAGCTCCCATCACCTCTGATTGATGTCGTTTACGATGACTTCTCTGTCAGGAAGCCTTCAATCGAGGTGGAGTACGACGACTTTTCTGTCAAACCAGTAAAGTGGATTCCTCCAACCAAAGCAGAACCTGTCAGCAGGAGCTGGGCTGTTGACGAGAAGGATCTGCTCATGTCCTTCGATGACGAACCTTGGGACAATCAGGGAGAAGGAAGGGAGGTGAAAAACGAGCCGGTGAAGAGCCCAACTCAGGAGAACCCACGGGAAAAAGAGATGGGGTTGTTGGTGGACTTTGGGGTGAAGGAGGAGGAGTCATCAGAGGAAGATGAGCTTGTTTCTACAGAGGTGGAAGAGGAGGAGGAAATGAAAGAAGATGAAACCGAAGAAGACTACAGCAGTGATGACAGTGACGACAGTAAGGTAAAAACAAAAACCTTCTCCTTAACCATTTGTTCAGGAGAAACTTTCACTCTGTCTTTTGTTTACAGGAAATATTCACATGACCTGACAGCCTCATTTATTTATCTTCATCCAGTTTAGAAGAGAGTTTAGGAGTTACACACATTAGTCACATAAATAATTTTCCCTTGGCTTGAATTTAGCTAGGTTTATCAGCAAGAAGAATAAATAAATAAAATCCTTCACTTTCTGCTTGATTTTCACAGATTGTTTTATGTCATTGTTACTGCACCAAACATGGTGATTAACCATTACTAATGGCTGTCCAGGACAGTCCAACACTCAAAAATCTGATTTTTGTTTTAGTCCATGAATGCCCTAGCCTGGCAAGCTATCCTATATGTATGTGAATATAGTCTGGACACGGTCCAATGGCGGCTCTCATTCGTGGGGTGGGATCTACTGTTGTCTTTCAAACGGTCTCTGCATGCTATTGGATAACGAACAAATGGGTTGAATGATCTATCGTTTTTGGACCAAAATTGCGATTTCAAACAGCATGATCACGTGACCGTCAAAGCTGCGGTTTTAGCGGTTTTGACTGATCCAGGATCAGTTGTGTAACCTTTTTTTTTTTTTTACATCTGGGGTTCTCCAAAGTTGATGCCAAAGCCGTTTCAAATCAGCCATCTTTGTTTTTCAGTAACATTCTGCCCACCAACAGCTGTGATTGGCCCACTAAGTCAACAGAGCGCTGTGATTGGACCGCTACAAAGCCATAGCCATCTTGTTAGCTCAGTCGCACTAGCATCCCACCCACCTGACAGATTAAGCGTTTTTATTGGCCAACAGTGTTGTAACTGGACCACTACCGATGTCAGTTAACATGGCAGTCCACCATACATCATGGAAGAAGCAGAGAAGAAGACAAAAATAATTTTGTTTTTTCCTAAAAGAACATGCTGTGATTGGCCAGCCACAATACTTACCAGGGCTGCGGAGATTCCAACAGAGCTTTGCTAGAAAGACGTGCAAAGCAAAATTATTTTGCTTCGCAAATGATGGACTAGATTCAAGGCTATGAATGCACCATTGCTGCTAAGTTCTAATTCTCTCTTGAAGCAAAAAATTTAATACATTAAAATTTTTACCTCCAGCATCTTCAAGTCATACTTTTTCTTGTCATCGTTACTAATTATTCTTAAGTTTGTTCCCAAATTTATTTGCCTTTTTTTCCTTACCTTTATAACTGATTTCATGATGAGGTAGTATAGGCTTAAATTCTTCTGCTCCTCATATGGTTGCATAAGGCTCATTCTGCTCATTTTCTTCGTATTTACCAGTGTTTGGCTCTGCCTAATACATTCGATTTTCCAGTGGCCTGTTTCATTCATATTGAGCTACTGTATTTTGAGTGCCAGTTGCAACGTCAGCTTCCAAATACTGATAAAGAAACTTAGACATGAAAGCCTACATCTGTTACACCGCTTTTTAAATCAGTTGTTTCTGCATTAATGAGCTTCTGAAAATGACTCAGATTTTTTGTCCACTTTGGATTTAAGCTCCTACAATGACAGCATTGCAATCACAATTCCCACAGGAGTATAACTTCAGCCTTCTGTGGCTAAAAAGAAACACAAGACTAATTGTTTCTCTGACATTTAAAGCCCACGTCACCTTTGGGCTCCATGAAATGAGTTTATTTTTGAGGAGAGGTTGAGGTCAAGAACTGAGATAAGAAGGAGCAATTGCACATGTTTTTCCCATTCAATTATGTCATTCTAGCAGCCACACACACACACACACACACACACACATCTCACAAACACTTTGCTATTCCTGTAGCACAAGAAAAATTCTCGTTCTACTGGCTTGAGCCTGACCGATCTCAGGGAGGTGTGACCTCGAGTTCATCACATGGGCGTGACTCTGGGATCTCATTAAGTTATTGATGAGGTCTAGTTACGCTTTCAGGTGGTTTCCAGGAATTACATGGCATTCGCTGGAACGTCCCTTGAGGACGTGTGTTTGTGAGTGAGTGTAATTGTGATGGATAAATGAACACGAGTGGAGGTTAGCTGTGAATCCAAGTTTGTGTTCCTAAATTATTTAACAATGGATCAGAACATGGAGATTTATATCTTTCCTACCATTACCAAACATGAAGATGACACATTGACAGAGTTAGAGAGAAGACTTAAAAATAAGATAAGGTAACATTATGGTAACTGAAGACCAGCTTCCACAACAGAATAATGGTCTTAAAAACTCTTCGAACCTCTGAGTGAATCTTTAGGTGTTCTGAAAGATCCCCAGACCCAAACTCATCCCAAATCTGCAAACAGAGCTCAATAAAGCAGCACACACTGGGAGAACCAATAACTTCACAGCACCAGAAGCTTCAGAAGAGGAATGAGAAAGAGAGGAGGAAGAAGCAACAGAGAAGAGAGGAGGACGAGAAGCGGAAGGAGAAACAGAGACTGGAGGAGGAAGAGAAAAGGGAGACAGAGACAGGAGGAGAAAGAAAGGAGGAAAGAGAAACAGACACTAGAAGAGGAAGAGAAAAGGGAGACAGAGACAGGAGGAGGAAGAGAGCAAATTCCCTAAAGGAATATAGAAAGCTGGCAACAAAAACATTAAGATTTATGGCTTTTGTAATGGTTCCCAAAAGGGTGAGCGTTAATATTGAAGTACAGAGTAAAGTGATTTTTGATTTTTAAATGCTTTGAAACTATGGGGAACATAATCTTTTTTCTCATATATTAAAACAATCTGTTCCTTATTTGTGTTTCTGCTCATCTAATCTTTCACTCTACTGTTAATTTAATGATTTTAAGAAATAAACAGCATGTGTAAAAATAAAGATGAGTTATCAAAAACACGTAAAGAAAGGATGAACTCTTCCATAGTTTAATTTGGGATTGGTTACTGTGCTTTCACTATGAAGTGTTTCTAATTTTTAGATACTGAAATGACACCTCAAAAGAGCTGAATGGTGTTTCTGAGCTTGTTTGTTCCATCCTTTATGTTTTTGGCTGGTTGTAACAGTTGAGGTTGAGCATTTTGTTGTTAGTTTTACTGGGTAAAAGTAGGGCTGGGCAATAAATCGAAAATGTATCGTTATCAAAGTTTCTGACTCTTATCGAGATCTTTTTTCCTATGTCAACAAATTTGATTATAAAAAATGAAAAGATGTGTGTAGGTTGGCAACGTTCATGTCCCTTTAAGAAGCTGTACCACCTTCAGACACAATGTAACTCAACATAACACGTGTGACAGCCCCATCTAGTGGACAACTTTGTTTCTGCACATACCTGTAGTTATCCATTCATCGTTATTGAGGTGAAATCCTCAATATATCGTGATATTGATTTTAGGCCATATCGCCCAGCCCTAGGTAAAAGTAAAGGAGGCTAAGGTGTAGCTGTGATTCACATTTTAAACATGTGATTTTAAAAGTAAATACATAAAAAGGTTTGAATCAAATTCGGAGGCTAGTACAAAACTATTTTATGCTATTTTAAGCTTTTCTATGCTTAATATACACAAGTCAATCTGACATATAATTAAATAAAATTTCTCCTTCACTTCTAATATAAAATAAAATACATTAATGACATTTATTTTTGGATGGGGGACTAAGATGAAGTGCTTTGCTATGATGGATATCAAACAGTAAAGTTTCACATTTTAGGAAGAAAAATCCATACTAGTTGCCCCTTTTATACTTTCGCCAATAATCAATAGCTAATTTATTTATCTCAAAAGTTAAGATAATGTGCAAAATGCCTCAAAAACATTTTAATTCCCGATAAAACCGACAACATAGTATATTGAATCTACCCTTAATGTTTCAGGTGATATTGTGATGATGATGGGCCTTGTTAGGCTTAATATGTAAACTAAATAAGTCCTACTAATTCAGTAATGTTCAACTTGGTAAATGGCCTGTATTTGTATAGCGCCTTCCTAGGGTTCTACAACCCCACAAGGCACTTCACACACACACATTCACACCCTGGTGGTGATAAGCTACAATGTAGCTACAGCTGCCCTGAGACGCACTGACAGAGGCGAGGCATTTCAGGAGTGCTTTAAATTATTTATTTTTTGACAAAACATTTCATTAATTATTTGCCGTCGGTATGTGAAGAGCATTTACATTGTGGATAAACCATCAGTCCTGCTCAATGGTTAACTTTCCTCGCGGCGTCACCCATAAAGACAGTGGGAGGGTTAAGGGTGTTGCCTTATAAGAGACGTACCAGTCAAGACAGAGTGCTGCAGCACTGTTGTAACATGCAGCATGTTTAGAGCTGATGAAACACCAGAAAAAATAACTATTGCTTTGTGATTTCCAAGATTTTTGCTAGAATTAACTATGTAACATCTCATTTGCATGCTGCTATAATGACATATTGTTTGTACAACCTCTGTCACGACTTTTGGTTTTGCTAATTTACCAGTCTCATCTGTCTGTTTATTCCTGTTTTCACCACCAAGTGGCGCCACTGCTCTTGGAACCTGCACTTCCTGTTCCTGCACCACACTGCTCTTCCAGTTTTTCTCTTCTACAGCAACAGCTAAACTCATAGCAGTGTGGTTTAAACATAAAAAAGGATTATGGCAGCAGAGAAGAGCTTTTGAATGTGGAATGTGCTGTTGGAAATACAAGCTGTGCAGCAGTGCGTGCACCGTTCAGGACACTTGCAGAAAGAGGGGTTGATGGATAGCTCTAATTTTATGACTTCTTTTGGATTTGTCCAACAGGACAGCATGTCAGGATGACCATAAATGGTGTCATGCTCTTATTCTCTGTGCGTCTCTCACCCATTCTCTCCACCTCACCCTCCCTCCACACGCTGGCAGAAATTCACACAAAAAGAGGTTGGGCTTATCCTAAAAGGGGAAAATTCACGTCTCCTGCCCATTCTTTCATCTAATGTTCCCGGTTGGTCAAACCCTATCTCTTTTATAGCTGGCCACCTGTTTCCTGTTCCTCTCTTATCCGTTTCACAAAGACCCAGTCCATTCGTTGGTTGCTTTACCTGCAGGAAGACAACTCCAGAGGGAGGTACAGAACGCACATTGGCCCCATTTTGCCACACCTTTTCTTTGGATTTTTAAATATCCAAGCTCAAGGTAGTTCTTCAGGTTGGTGTTTCGTAACAGTTGTTCAACTCTGCTGGAGATAAAAGGATGATCTAATGCTCTACACCTGGTTTGGATATTTGGTGTAGATATTCCCACGCTGCTTTTTTGGACTTACGTACAGAGTTTGGCAGGACCCTGTCCAGCCAAAGAATTAAGGAGGTAATTCATCATATTTTGTTTTTCTTCTGGATTTTACAACCAGGCATAACAAGAATGGAATAGTGGCTGCAAAACTCTTCAGCTGCTTTACTGACGCCAAGCTCTAGACTTGTTGAGGTGATTTTTTTTAACTGAAGTATAAAACATGTGGGGAAATGAAGGATCCTGGTCAAACAGAAAATGGCTTAAATCTGACATCATGCTGAGGTCATTTGCTATGAAACCCAGACCAGACAACCGTTTTCTCATCTCTGTCCAAGCTGAACCTCAGTTTCTGTGGTAACCTCAATTCCATGGTTACCCTAGCATCAGGACAACTAACACTGTGAACTCTGCAGCCATGCAGTACTTGGGAGGAAAGCTGTCGGCTGCCCAGCTGCAGGCTGCTAGCTTGGTGGGCAACTTGAGGCGGTCTTTGCAAGGAGCTCTGGAGCTAGTGTGGGGCTCCTCACAGGAGAAACAGGAGGAGGGAGAGGAGGATGATAAAGAAGAAAAAGAGGAGATTGTAAATGAAGGAGGAAGATTGGAGAGAGCCATGTTACCCCTTCGTAGCTTCGCCAGGCGAAGCAGGAGCTCCCTGCATCGCTTCTCCATCAGAAGTCGGCGGGCTTTCCAGAGGAGATCTACTGGCACCTGTTCTGTAAGAGCTGATGTTATCATTCACATTAGAAACTGGGATGAATGACTGCAGCAGCTAGTTTCTGTTCAGTAGCTCCATATAACTCCATATCTGATCCAATAGCTCCACACCCATGTGACAGAAAGATGCAAATCCAAACAGGGAGTGGCAGAGGCAGTTTTGTTTCAGGAAGGAAAAGTTATCTGATGTTTTATCTTTGTACATACCGGTGCATGCTCTTTTCCCCTCTGTGTGTGTCAGAGATAAAGCAGAAGACGCAAACACTGTGTGAGACTCTTGGACCAGGCTTATCTGGCTGTTTACGTCTTGGTTCTTTCTTTAGTTCACGGCTGGCTTCTTTCTCTTATATTGCCAATCACACGTGCAGGCCTGAGAAATGAATTTGTATCCTTCAGTAAAAATATTAAATACTTGTGATGTTTTGTTGGCACTTTACCTCCAACCAACGGTTCTGCAGTCTCAGCTTATTGTGCTTGCGGCAACTTGAATCCATTATCCTCTCCACTTAACTCCAAACAAGCCTCATGCACATTCCCTTGACAGTGACAACAGTTTGATGCAGGTGAACTACAAAGAAGCAGACTCTGCCTCAACTTGCTCCATCCAGCAGCCACTCTGTCACACACACATAGGTAGTTTTTAACTTATACGATGGTTGTGTCTCATCTTGTTTAGCAGTTCTTGTCCTCATAAAAAGTATCTCAGGAATCTGAAAGAAGGCTTCAGTCGGGTCTCCGTCCTACTGTGGCCTAAGGCTTCTCTAACGTGTTTGTTTATTAATAATGACTCAAATAGGACTGTGATAGGCTTCTAAGTTCTTATAAGCAACATTTCTTCAAAACGTACCACAGCATTCAATTCTTCTGTATAGGAATAATTAGCATTTACAGTCAAGCTGATTTACTACACTTCACATATGTTGTGATGCAAAAAAAACAAAAAAACAACCAACATGAGTTTTTAGGGTAAATAGCTTTAAAGGGATATTCTACCCAACTTATTTCCCAGAGTTAAGAAAGAGAGAAAAAAGTTTTTTTTTTATCAGTCCAGTCATTCCCCTGACCAGGCTGTACACCTTTAGCTTAACACAGTAAGGAAATGGGTCCAACCAGCACTGCGAGTAAAAAACTCCTTAAAATCACTCAGTAGTGATCCAGTGGTGACCTAAATAATCAGACTGATTGCAAGTGAAAATAATTAGTAACATAAAGGATTCATAGGTGCCATTTTACACTTGGTACTACTTTATGACAAAGCACAGCCGCAAACATCCACTGCAAGGCAGCCCCAAAGACACCTGCTTCCATAAAAAGAAAATATTTTCGTTTTGGGAGATACCCGGCTACGTGTTGACAGGGCCTGAGTAAACGACGCTGGCCACCGCTTAGCCACCAGCTAACGGAGGAAGGATGGCATGAGTCTGGGAGTCCGGTGCTATGTGGATCTCGGGGAGAAGTGGTGGAGATTGAGCAAACCATACCTAAGTTGATTAAAATTGTGGGGGGAAAAAAGTTTCATTCCACATATCAAATGTCTACTTTGTGTTGGTCTATCACCGATAATCTCAATTGAAAACATTTAAGTTTGTGGTCGCAGAGTGTCATGATGTATAAAACATCAAGAGGTAGAAGTACTTTTGCAGGTTTATCTCCCCATGTCTAAACTAAAGAGACAATATTGTTGTGTAGGAGGGTTAAAATCCCAGATGAATGTGCTGCTGTAAACTTGTTTAGATGTAAATGGTGTTTCTGTCAGAGTGAACTTTGTTTTCTGCGTCCGACTGTGGTTTTAGGAAAATCATCAGAGCCCTATTCATTCATGCTGTTGTGCTGCCAGATAACAGGCTTTGTGCAAATGAAGCTAAACTTTGAGCTCTGAGCAATGAACTGCCCCATGAAGGGGATGAGATGAGGGCGCTGGTGTTTACTTGAGTGTTGACGTGTATCCAGGTGATAATATCAGACAGCATACTAGAGGGATGTGCCCTTTGACTCAAAGGCAGAGGAGCTCAGAGGAATGTTTGCCAAGAAGTGCAGAGAGTTGCTTTTGTTTGGAAGGTGTGCGCATGTGTGTGTGTGTGTGTGTGTGTGTGTGTGTGTGTGTGTTTATTGAGGACAGTTCAGTCTCCGTGACTGGCTCATTAAAAGAGGCATGCTTGGCTGGTCCTCAGTGTTTCCTCCTCCTGTTGTTAGGGATGTTGGCTCGTCACACGGGCCATTTTCCTCCTGACTTACCTCCACAGACTAAAGTTCTAACATGTTGATCTACAGAGCAAAAGGAAAATAAAAACACATCTACTGCACATAATCTAGTGATAATGGCAGCATTTCATTTGCCTCTGTTTTGGTGCTTTTGTTTCATTCGTGTTTTTCTCTCAGACACAGACTGGCAATTACTCCATAAAACCTGTGGACGAAGACACGGATGACTTGTCGGACAATGAATCACAGCAGGATGAGATCCATGAAGGGACGTCTCAAACTGACAGGTAGGTAAAGGGTTTTTATTATAGGAGAAATAAAACTTAAATCGTTGTATTTTGGTTTTATTTTGAATGCTTTATATCCTGAAGATGATTTTAAATGAGTTTATCTCAGTGAAGACTGCAGTAGAAACAAGTTGTCTTATTACAGCGGTTGGACAAGAGTTAGCATCAACCTCTCTCCTTGTGGTTACTAAAGCACATCACACAATGACCTAAACTGTTCAGCTTGGTGAAGGAGGGGCAACTTGTGAAAATATGACGACTTCTAACCAGTAGCTTTTGCAATCGAATCTCCATCTGTGTTCAAATCCAGTAATTTGTCATTTCTTCTTTTTCACTTTCAGTCCAAAGCCCGTCTCTGAAGAGCTATTTGATGAAGATGTTGATTCTTGCAAAGAGCCAGAATTTGTACCATTTCCTGAGGTTAGTGAATCTGTTTTTAATCCTGTCATAAGACACCGTCTGACTGTTCTATACTACAAAACAAGCTTCGATTTTAGTAATTTTGCAAACCTACATGATAAAACGTTGTTGCAGGGTTGTATAGTTCTAATGAACATCTGTCTGTTTCTCTACAACAGATGTCCACTCCTCTGCTGGACACCAGCACCCAGAGATCTAAAGCAAAACTGAATAGGGCTCGAAATCGATCGCTTCCCTCGCGCTCTTTCCGCGTAGACTTAAATAAGAGGAGCAGGCTGGACTGGATGGTTAACACAGGTTAACACAGAATATATAATATTATCTGATCTAAAACAAAACTGACACCCAGTTCCTCAGAGGGTTAATGTTCTGATCTACCACTTTTCTTTTAGATACATCAGAGGATTTGCCGAAAGAAGAGCAGTCCGACTCTGAGGAGCAGGAAGAGGAACAGTCGCAACCAAAAGCCATCATTTCTCATCCTTCCTCAACGTCGAAAGTTCCCATGTTTCCTGGTCTGAGTCCTGCAGCCCTACTAGTACGTTCTCCCATGCATATAACACACCTTTTTATTTGTTATTATGGATATTTGCAACAATTGGATATTTGTTTATTTAGGCTGGGATAAAGAAAAGAGCAGGTGGAGAAGCACCTGCAGCAGTGGAAGAGACAGAAAAGAACAAGGTAACAGAAGAGAAAGGGATGGAAGAAGAGCCTCCCTCACAGCCAACACGGTCTCCTCGCCTGCCTGGTCACATGGCCGGGGCTGCGCGAGTGCTGCCCCCTATGGGAGACACAGGTGGAAGGTACATGAACACAGAGGCCAAAAACATTCAACACCAAAAACCCTTGCAAAAGTGATTGGAGAGTTTTTGATTGAAATGCTGATTTGGCTTGCCCATCAGTGCCGGTTCCTCTCCTGCATGGTTAGCAGAGCTGAAGTCTAAGAAGCGTATGAATCAACAGGGTGGTAAAACATAACTGGACACAAGTAAGTACTCTATTTAAAAATGTTTAACAGTCACATTTGATTTATTTTGTATAAAATAAATTTATTACTGTAAGAGAGCAGGGCCGTTTTAATTATTAAATTAACTTTGAACAGTTTTAACAAAGAAAATATTTTAAGGTGCAGTATGTACAGGTGCTGGCCAGTAAATTAGAATATCATCAAAAGGTTGAAAATATTTCAGTAATTCCATTCAAAACGTGAAACTTGTACATTATATTCATGCAATGCACACAGACCAATGTATTTCCAATGTTCATTACATTTAAATTTGATATTCATAAGTGACAACTAATGAAAACTCCAAATTTGGTATCTCAAAAAATTAGAATATTCTGAAAAGGCTGAATATAGAAGACACCTGCTGCCACTCTAATCAGCTGATTTACTCAAAACACCTGCAAAGGCCTTTAAAAGGTCCCTCAGTCTTGTTTTGAAGGCACCACAATCATGGGGAAAACTTCTGACTTAACAGCTGTCCAAAAGACAATCATTGACACCTTGCACAAGGAGGGCAAGACACAAAAGGTGATTGCTAAAGAAGCTGGCTGTTCGCAGAGCTCTGTGTCCAAGCACATTAACAGACAGGCGAAGGGACGGAAAAAATGTGGTAGAAAAAAGTGTACAAGCTCTAGGGATAACCGCACCCTGCAGAGAATTGTGACGACAAACCCATTCAAAAATGTGGGGGAGATCCACAAAGAGTGGACTGCAGCTGGAGTCAGCGCTTCAAGAACCACCACGAGGAGACTCATGAAAGACATGGGATTCAGGTGTCGCATTCCGTGTGTCAAGCCACTCTTGAACAAGAAACAGCGCAAGAAGCGTCTCGCCTGGGCCAAGGACAAAAAGGACTGGACTGATGCTGAGTGGTCCAAAGTTATGTTTTCTGATGAAAGCAAGTTCTGCATTTCCTTTGGAAATCAAGGACCCAGAGTCTGGAGGAAGAGCGGAGAAGCACAGAATCCACGTTGCATGAGGTCCAGTGTAAAGTTTCCACCGTCAGTGATGGTGTGGGGTGCCATGTCATCTGCCGGTGTTGGCCCACTCTGTTTCCTGAGGTCCAGGGTCAATGCAGCCGTCTACCAGGAAGTTTTAGAGCACTTCATGCTTCCTGCTGCTGACCAACTTTATGGGGATGCAGACTTCACCTTTCAACAGGACTTGGCACCTGCACACAGTGCCAAAACCACCAGCACCTGGTTCAAGGACCATGGTATCCCTGTCCTTGATTGGCCAGCAAACTCGCCTGACCTTAACCCCATAGAAAATCTATGGGGTATTGTGAAGCGGAGGATGCAATACGCTAGACCCAACAATGCAGAGGAGCTGAAGACGACTATCAGAGCAACCTGGGCTCTCATAACACCTGAGCAGTGCCACAGACTGATCGAGTCCATGCCACGCCGCATTACTGCAGTTATTGAGGCAAAAGGAGCCCCGACTAAGTATTGAGTGCTATACATGCACATTCTTTTCATGTTCATTCTTTTCAGTTGGCCAACATTAGAGAAACAAACATTTTTTCATTGGCCTTTAGAATATTCTAATTTTCTGAGATACCAGATTTGATGTTTTCATTGGTTGTCACCTATAAATATCAAAATTAAACGTAATAAACATCGGAAATACATTGGTCTGTGTGCATTGCATGAATATAATGTACAAGTTTCACGTTTTGAATGGAATTACTGAAATATTTTCAACCTTTTGATGATATTCTAATTTACTGGCCAGCACCTGTAAGAGTATAGTGAGAATTTTACAGTGATAAAATCTCTAAAGAGTCTTAAAGAGCAAATAGCAGGTTAGAGACTCCCATGAACCGATGTTTAGAGAAACATAATAGAAACTCGTTTTAAACATTTTTTTACACAAACATAAATTATTTAGGCTTTTAGAGTCATTTTTGTGAGAACGTTTTTTTTTTTGGGCCAAACCAAGTGACGTCATCTGAGGGAGTCCTGTTAGCTTAATCCAGTGAAAAATATAGATTATAATGCCGGCGCTGACACAGAGGAAACTTTAAATGTTTACAATTATATTCATGATGGACCAAAACCATAAAGTTATGAGTTTGCTGCTCGCCCCAGAGGGCAGAGACAAACCGGAGGGAGAAACGATCGGCCAAAGCAGAGAGATTACGGAGGAGAAGTAGCGAGGGTCAGCAGGTGTCTGGTGAGTTAACCATGTTAGCTTAAACTCGTGTGCTAACATCACAATATTGTACAGATTACTATCGTGTACCAGACAATTAAAATAGTATCGGTCAGTTAATATAATATTAATACTAATGAGCGTCTGTCAGGGGTCTCCTACTCGCTAATATCCGTTCACATCTCGTAGTTTAGCGCTTAGTGAGAGGGAGAGAGATGCCTGTCATCTGATTCTGGAGCTCATCCGGGCTTCTGTGAGCTGGATTTGGCCCAAACATAAGCGAGACAGTTGAGCTGGTATTTTTAAAAGCTGCACATCCTCTCCTGGTGGTCCAGGCAGCGGTTCTGATCTGGTTCCAACCCGGAAACCAGCTGGCCTGCTGAGCCGCGCGTCTCTTCTAGTGGTCGGTTCTGACCTGGTTCTGACAGTGATCTTAGCTCCAGAAATCCGCATTTAATTTTTTAAACCCTGCCACAGGTCTCTGGAGCCCAGCGCGGACCTCCTTGTCCCAATAAAGACCGATGTGGGCTACAGAAGTCCGTCTTTTCAGCTGCACAAAACGCCGTCGGACACGGAGATAGAGGCATTGTTTCTCTTGTCTGGAAACCTGTGGACTCGATGTCCAGACAGGCTGGAGTTGGTACAGCCTTCACACGCTATAGTTTATCAACATGAACACAATTCAACACTAGTAAACACACACACTGACTGGATAACAGGACCTCTCTAACCTACAACTAGCCACTCTCCACACTGAGCTGAGGCAGCGCCGAGCTTCTAACTCCCTTTGATTACGTCAGAGGTTCACATTTAGAAAAAAGCTTTGCTGAGAAAGGCCACGTTCTACTAGAAAACTCTGCTGTTATGTATTTTAAAACCAAATATCCACAATAAGCTTTTTAAATAGTATTTTTTGTACAGCATTTTATATGAATTAGAAAAAAATTTTAACTTGCAATTTGCTCTTTAACGTTTTAGTCATTTTGGAAGGAAGGTTATACTGAAACATGTTTCATATCCAGCTGGCTGTGAGGATTTTCTCCTTTCAAAACAAAGGAAGGAGGGACGTAACTACTGTTTACCATCATTGAGTGCGGGGGTGCCGTGTCTCCTGCGAGCTAATACTGCAGCGCCGACAGTTGTAATTTGACAACAGCCGGCAAAAAGCTCCAGAGTTGCTTAAAGTGGGTGCAGTAACCAAACTTTACAGCAGGATGTCATTTTTACTTCATTTCTACATAATGCACCTTTAATCAACCAAGAGAGTCATTCACATTTTGGTCAAATACATTTTTCACCTTTCATAAAAGTCATAAAAAATCTAAAGGAAAAATAATGTTTATTGGTTTCGTGACCTTTGTATCACTTAAGTAAACAGGATCATCTGTAGTCGACCATGAAAGCAACGGCATGTTTCAGTGCGTCGGAAACAGCCGTGCCTGTTGAGACCAAGGTGTGTTTATGTTGATGCTTCTAGAAGCACTCAGCTTAGCGTGACAGATTGTGATTTGAGTAAACTGAGAGCAGATATAAACAGGAAGCAGCCCTTTATCGCTGCAACGTTTTGTCCTGTTATCGAAACAGCAAAGTTACACTGTTGCTGCACCTGAATGCTCTTTTCTCCACTTCAATTCATGTAGCTGCTGAAGAGCTCGAAGACAGTGTACCCATACACTAGCGAGCTGAACAAAACTTCACTCATTGCATTTTCTTGTGTCCTTTAGGAGACACTGGATCATCGCTCTCCAGCAGGAGTTGGCCTGTTTCACTTTCCTGCTGCGGACAGATATTTTTATATTGGTTCTGCACTTTTGAGTGTCTTATTGTGGAACTTTTCTGATATTTTACAGAGAAGAATTTAGTCTCATTTTTGGATACAGAAGCAATAAAGACTTTTTTAACTTGTAAATGAAAATTGGTGCCAAGACCACGTGCAAATAATGTTTAATGTCAAGTAAATGTTTAATAATGTGTTGTCTGGAGACTCAGTGGGACCATGAACCTTTAAGTGTACTTTAGAGAAACGCTTTGTACTGTTAGTGATTAAATGTGCAAGTCCATCATGCAGGGGCTGGTGACATTAACACCTACTTTAGCAGGAAGTTACTTTTACACACATGCATGCGTTTATGCAATTATCAGAAGTTTCAACTTAATCCTAACCTTAACCATCATAGTGAAATAGCTTGTCCCCTCTCAATACAAATTTATTTTTCTAGTGTTAATCTTAAGTGCTTATTCAAATTTTTAAGAGCCCTTCAAAATCCTCACAATGTGACACACCCAAACTATCCCTACAGTCACAGAGACGCATGAATAGCCACAAAAAAATGCAAAGAAATATGAAACAGAAGAGATAAAATGTGTTATTTAGTTTGCTTTTTTATATCGTATCCAAAGCAAAGAAAGTTTGATGCACTTTAACATAAATCATGGCAAATTTTTTATGTGTTTTACAACAGAGCAATATCAAATCATGCACTCAATTTGATAAAACTGATCAGGGAGTTTTTTATTTGTTTTTTTATTACAGCGTTGCTAGACTTAAACAATAAGGGGTTTATTAACAGCTCACGACGTCCACAGTGGGCTGAGGTTTTTTTCTTCTTTAAGGGGTCGATATTCTGGAGGTGTGTGTGTTTTCTAAAACCCAGAGTGCATTTAATGTCTGATGTGCCTTTTTTCATGCTGCTGAATGACTTGTCATGAATTCTTGGATCATTTAAGATCACCATACTGTTTGTTTATTGGAAGCAGGGAGTTTTAATAAATCTTTTTCTATGAAATGAAGTTGGAGAGTGTTCTTGGGGGTATACAATTGCCTGTGCCCATCTTGGTTATTTCAAGTGTCAGGGATTTGTGATGCAAGAGAAAATGAAACAAGGGGAAGACTGCAGAGTGTGGATGAAGACAGCTGGGTGGGCCCGATAGTGCTGAGTGAGACCGATCTCTGGTCATTCTCTTGGCTGGCAGTCAGTGCTTGTGCCCACCATAGGATCACGATCAGGATGGCAGCATGGGCAGCGCTTGCTTGTGTGCCAGGGACAGAGGGGCAAACCTATTGAGAAGCAGTGTGATGGACACAATGGGTGCGACAGACTTGCTGCATCAACAGGCTTTTTGCTGCTGTGGCCAGAAACAAACCATAAATACCCCCACTGGCATCCACCGACCACTCGCCAGGCCTCCACAACCACACACCCTCGCACAGAACGGGCAGAAAAGAGAAAAACAAGACAGGAAGCACAGAGTGTGGCTTGTTCGGGGGGCAGTGAAGCACAAGCCTTTCAGGTAAATCAAGTTAGAGATAATAACTGTTTGCGACAGGCGTTTCTCTTTTTTTAATCTAATTTGCCTAATTTTACCACCTTGTGTAAAGGCAACTCAAAAGTGCACCTCCATAAATCCTAAATCTCTTGAATTTGATAGACAATACAATTGTAATTTTAGAGAAATGACAGAAAAGCAAGGAACCCCAGACCAGCTGCCTGCAGAGAAGGGCCAAGGAGGAGCTGGAGCCACATACAAGGTAACAGAAATGTTAACAGAATCATGTGTGTATTATAGAAATAATACTAAGACAACAAAGCTCTCTTTTAAGGGATGCCATTTGTAAAGTCAACAGTCAGAAAAAATGGGAGTTCATTTTTTAAAAGTCATATTTTCACCATGGTATTCAGACATTTATAAATGTTAAAGATCCTAACTAAATATTTAGTTGGAAAGCTAAATATTTTGAGGTAAATATTAATTTACAAACTAAATATTTAGGTCAGATCTAGATATTTAGTTTGTAAAATAACTATTTTATTTACTAACTAAATATTTTATCTGGGGCTAAATATTTAGTTTATAAACTAAATATTCGGCTCTAAATTAAATATTTATTTTCCAAACTAAATATTTAGATCCCAGTTAAATATTGATTTTGCAAACTAAATATTTAGTAGCAAATAAGATATTTAGCTAGAATCTGTATATATACACTAAGTATTTAGTTAGTAAATTAAATATTTATTTTACAAACAAAATGTTTATGTGTGACTTCAATATTTAGTTTGTAAAATAAACATTTACCTGTAAATAAAATATCTAGCTTGCTAACTATACATTTTGTTTAAGACTAAGATTTATAAATGTATACATGGTGAAATATGAATTTGGAAAAGGAACTTATGATAGGCTAAATAACCCAAGATACCACTGTTAAATTATCACTTTTTGACTTTACAAATGGCACCTCATACACTTTTGGGGTTTGGATAGCATCATCTACCTTCACCAACTGTTCCTGTTTTGCAGTTGGCCGTGTTTGAGTTTGAGAACTTCCGTGGACAAAAGGTGGAGTTGTCTGGTGAATGTAAGGATGTGCTGGAGAAGACACAGAGAGTGGGCTCGGTTATTGTGGAGTCAGGACCGTGAGGGACTTTCTGATGCCCTTAAATGCCATCTGTGGTTACAATTTTGCTCAGAAAAGAATGTGCAACTTTAAGTGTAACACCATTTCTCTTTGTCACCAGATGGGTGGGATTTGAGCGTCCAGGTTTTGCTGGAGAACAGTTTGTTCTTGAGAAAGGAGAATTTCCTCGCTGGAGCACCTGGACCAACTGCCAGAGTAGCAACATCCTGAGCTCCTTCAGGCCTCTGAAAGTGGTCAGAACCCAACATGAGTCAGACTGACGATTTTGTATTATGTTATATTGCTTGTGAATATGGGAATGTGCTCCTTTTTTCTCTTCAGGACAGTGCAGCTCACAAGTTGCACCTCTTTGAGAATGCAGGCTTTGAAGGCAGAAATATGGAGATTGTAGACGATGATGTCCCCAGTCTGTGGGCGCATGGTTTTCAGGACCGCGTAGCCAGCGCTAAGGCCATCTCTGGAACGTGAGATACACCTTTTTCACGGCAAAAACTACAGTGTATATTTAACTCTGTATAAATGTTATCAAAACTGTGATGTTACTCACTGCCCTATTATTTAATCATAACTTTCCCTTTGAAGGTGGGTGGGATACAGGTATCCAGGCTACAGAGGGCCCCAGTATGTGTTTGAACATGGAGACTTCAAGCAGTGGAATGCTTGGGGAGCCACTGCACCTCAGATCCAGTCCGTCCGACGTGTGCGGGACATGCAGTGGCATAAGAAAGGGTGCTATATTCCCCCTGCTCCAGCCCCTGGCCCTGGCCCAACCCCTGCACCACCCAATCCCAATCCAAACCCCAAACCTACCCCTAATCCTAATCCTAACCCTAAACCTACACCCAAACCTCAGTCTCAACCCCAACCCTAACAGCACACCTCTAACAAAATCCACAAATGCTCTTTTGCTCATGCTCCTGAAATAATGAAACAATCTGGCAATGAAGTTTTGGAAAATGAACTGGTGACCATGAAACATGTATCTGTTGGAAATAAAGGTTTTGGCCCTGATGTTGGCTTTGTGCAAGTGGATGTTGTTTATTTGGTGTGTTTAAATGTTATTTTAAAGCATACATTTGTGAATTGTTTATAGGGAAAACGGTTGGATTCTTTTTTTCAGAAAAGGGTAATGTTTTATGAAATGATAAAGTAACTTTTAGTTATGAAACACTTAAGTTCAGCCTGTTTATAATGAGAAAACCGGGCTCTCAGGGCCAACAGTGCTCAGTCATCAGTGATTGGTTAAAATTGCAGTAAGACCCGCCCACAAAAAATCAGGACATCAAATCAAACGCCAGCTTCATTCACCAGGCTCGCGAGGTGGGCGGGAAACGCGCAAATTTTGAAAGTTCACCCGGAAATAACAGAAAGGACAACAGTGTGCTTTGCGCACACCGCTGTAGTTTTCTAAAAACATTGCGGTTTTAATTTCTACATGGCTACCTGGTGAGTATTATCGTGTCCTAGTGTGTTGATTTTGTTTATATATGCAGAAGAAAATGACGACCATCCAGTTTGAGTACATTATAGACAACGGACGTTAGCCTGTTAACGTAGCTTGTGCTAACCAAACCGCTCCGTCTGTAAACAATATTTCACTATTGTTTTATTTGAACGTGTGTCATTCGTTAAGGTTGTCAGCGTGAAGACAAACATGCTGAAATTCAAGTACGTGAGTCAGGGAAACCTGAAAACACTCGGTTCCGCTGCCGACCCCATCACCAGCCGCAGTTTGAGACTTAACCAGGTGTTTCAGGTAAAGCTAACGTGTGTTCCCAACAAACTGAAGAGTTTTCAGCTAACTAGTTGTTGTAGTGAGAAGCTGACGTGCCTTTCCCGGTGTCTCCAGGGAAGAGTGAGCTTATGTGGGCAGCAGGGAGGACGGGAGGACCTTCTGGAGGCCCTTCTGCTTCTCTATCAGGAGTGCAGCTCCCCAGAGCTCATGAAAATACATCATGTTGCAAAGTTTGTCAATAAATGTAAGTGTCAATTTTATGCGTTTACAAATGATTACATTTGTAGCTAGTTATTTACAGTATGTACAGTCTGTGGTTATTTAATAGTATTGTTGTAGAGAACTGGACAAAAAGTCTAGTCTCTAGTTTTTCTTTGATTTACTTCAAAAGAAACAGGCGTGCTTTTAATCTTTAACAGTTTTTCTGAATTTCTGAAGGTCTTTTTAATGTTTTTATTTTACATTGGCTGCTGTTTCACACGGATCCTGTCCATTTCTACTACCTGGAATGATAACCTATTAGAAAAATGACAAGTGGACAAAAGATGTAAAGATGTTAGGCTTGAAATAAATTAAGGTAAACAAAAGAAAATACCTTAAAAACCTGAGTTGTGTCATGGTTTCAACAAATGCCATTATTGACGATGAAATACAAGTTTGTGTGTATTTTTTTGTTTTTTTTTATGCTTGAAGGGCCCAAAGGTCAGAATTACATGGTTTTACGAGCAAAAATATTTGGCAAATATAAAAAAAAACATTTTGAAAACATTGCAACTTTCAGAAAGCCTGGACAAATAACTAACGTTCTTGCTCAAAAGACAAGTTCCTGGGAAGCAAAATATAAATAAAAGTGTTATTTGCACAACATTGTTTGTTTTAATGTAACTAGCTTAGGACATGTTCACAGTAACTGCTTTATTTTAATTAAAATTATAGCATTATGTTACAATATGTAGTTCTACAATGTGAGGTAAGGAAAAAAAGAAGGGGGATTCGAGGCATTCCGAATAGTGTAAGAATCTTTAATTGTGCAAGGATTAGCCGATGCATCGTTCGGAGTGCCTCAGATTCCCCTACTCTTCTTTCTTACCTCACATAGGATGTTTCCTAAAATCCTAAAGTGCACCCATATACGTCTCTAAACAGTTTAAAAAAATACATTCTGTTGCAATGTCATTTATCTACTTTTGAATATCAGTATAATGGACACAAACTTTTTTTTTTTCAACGTGTGTGTGTGTGTGTAACAGTTTCTGAAACGGTCTCAGAGCTGCGTGCTCTGCAGCCAGGAAATCAGGACTTTGAGGTCCGTGCTGTGGTGGGCCGTGGTCGCTTTGCTGAGGTTCGAGTGGTCAAAGAGAAAGCTACCGGAGAGGTGTTTGCACTTAAAGTGATGAACAAGACGGTGCTGCGCACCCAAGAAAGTGTAAGCTTCCTAAATTGGTTTCAGCAAGAATATACTAGTAAAATCTAGGAACAGGATACTTGGAGTGGATGTTTAATGAATTGTGTGGCTTGTTTTTCAGGTAAAATATGTATTTTTGTCACTGCAAGGAAAACACTCATTAAAATATGAAAGATTTTACTCTGCTTCACGTTTAGTGGTATTTTCAGAGTCAGGGTGCCACCAAGCTGTGATGCTTTTCTGTGTTCTGGAACTTTTGCACCTGATATTAGGAGCACTTATATTTTTTACTGCTTTAGAAAACTAAAATGTCTTTTATGTTCATTCACCTTGTTTTTCAGAATGATCCGAATTTAATTAATTTAGTGGTTTAGTGCTATTCTAAAAGCTCAGCATTGGTTTTACACCTTTTATAACAGTGAAACATTGGTATTTGCTGAGATGTATTCTCCTGTAAACCAAGCTCAAGTAGTAGTTTTTTCTTTTCTTATTTTTTTCTACTGTATAAGGACGGGAGTGTGCAATTGCTAACTTATCAACCAAGTTGGTTGTAGTCTTTAAAAGGCCCACTTGAGTGCACTACAGGGCTAAATCTAACTTTTATTTCACAGCTTTGCTCTCTGGCATATGACTAATGAAACAATTCTCAGTCAGAATGGCACATGAGCAGCAAGGAAGTGAGCAACAATTTGCTCAGTATGAACGGAAAAAAAATTTAACTGTCTTAAATGACGTTTAACTGTAAAATCAAGCAAAAAGAATCAATGCTAGAGAAGGGAGGGTGTGAACTGGTTGCATCTAGAAGATCTGGACAATAATTCAATAACAATATATATCGATCAATAGACATGTGGTGCGATGGAAATAAAATGGATAAAAAAAAGTTTCCTTTTTGCATTGTAGCCTATCTGGTAGCTACATACTAGTCATTACTTAAACCTAACCAATCAGAAACACAAACCAAGGCACACTCCGTCACCAAGCCCTCTCAAACCTAAACAGACAGAAAGGGACTTAAACAAGATGTTGCAGGCAGCAAGGAGAGGTGGAAGAAATTGTCCCCCCAAAAAAGCTTTCAGTAGTTCACCTGTGTGGCAATATTTCCATTCTTACATGTCTGACAACAAAAACAAACAGTATTTGGCAAAATTAGCAGAGAATCAATAAAAACCAAGTCTGGTAATGGAACCAACTTGTTTTATCATAAAGTAATGCCATAAAATGGCCAGGGCTGCACTTAAAATATGTTTTCTACATTATTGTTTAAATATAGTATTCAATAATGATCAATATGTTATTTTATTTTATTGATGAGCTTTTTTCTATATCGGCCAGCCCTGATCTAAAGTTAAGTTCCTGGGTTGGTGGTTGTAGAGTTTTAGATTATTTGGTAATCGGAGGGATTAATGGTGAACATACAGGCTCAATTCTTTCATATATACACGTTTGTTTATATGTTTGCTGTACAAATACGATGATCACAAATTTGCTTAAATATTGTAATTAATTTTGCAGCTATATCAGTACTGTGTATGAGTAAGGTTTGTTTTATTAATTAATTAATTTCCATGTTTGTATACTGATTGCATGCCTGCTGACCCTTTTCAGGGGGTTTTTCATGAAGAGGAACGAAGGATCTTGTCTCTAAACAGTAGTGCCTGGATTCCACAGCTGGTGTATGCCTTTCAAGATACAGATCATGTCTACTTGGTGAGGCTGGAACATTTCTGCTCTTAATTAATTCTGCATACCTTTATCTCTAGGAAAAAGCCAATTTTGCGTGAAACTTTATAGAGGTAAGGAAGAAAACAGAAAGTTAATAATCTCACAAAGATAGAAGCGTTAAATAATGTGCAGGATCACATCTTTTCCTATTACATCCAGGTCTAAAAGTGGTCTTTTCAATTAAAATGTAAAGCACACTTGCAAAATAACTAACAGCTATAGTGTAGCACTTAACTCTCTCTTGCAAGTGTTGTGGTTGGACTTATTACCAGAACGTACGTATCTAGGTAGATGACCTGAAATCACTAATTCTGCCTTAACTAGCACTCGTTTATTGGTCATAGTCAGACGTAGAAAACTGCAACGTCCAACTTTCTGTTTAGGTCACTTGAATCATTGGTTCTTAAAGCAGCCCTTTTTTCAACACCACCTCTAATTTATGGTTCCTCTCTTCTCTAAAAGTGAATACTCAGTGGTGCTGACCTGCCTCTCTCACCAGTAACTGATGCTAGCTAAAACCTGTGTAAGAATAAAACTGCTGCGAGCAAATCGTATGATTCTAACAGCACAGCTGATTTTAACAGCCATCAGTTACTCATGCCCATCACTGCTACGACTGCTCGTTATGACTGAATTTGCCTCATCACATTTACTTGGAAATCATTTTCCGCTGCCAGAACTGTCCTCCTCTACCTCTCACCAAAATCCTCTCAGCTGTTAATTTCCCCTCCATCCTTAAATAAAACTTAGCAGCTTTTATTAAATACTTCTTTGATCTTCTCAGAGAGAGTCAGTCTTCCCTCGTTGTCCATCCACAGTGGTCAGCATTATCTCTAAAAGAAGAGCATCTGTTGGACAAACACGATTACTTCATATCGTTTGTTCTTCTGACTGGTGTTATTGTTCAGCTCTCTCACATTATTACCACCAAATCTCCTTTATAGTGTCCGTCTGTACACATGTAATAAATGTGTGGTGTCTGTCATGTGATTTTATGGCTTCTTCCAACCCTGATGAAGGAAAAAAGTTGGAGCTGCAACTCGTTTGTGTGTTAAACTTAAATCGGATGTGGACAGCAGCACCAGAGGCGAGACTGAGACCAGACCCCCCCCCCTCCAGGTGCTGTTGAGTGTGCTCACCCCCAATGCCCTAAGTGTGTTTTTGCATGGAATGTTGTTGGTGGAGGTGATTCAATTGCAAAATAAAATTGGGGTTCAGGCCGTCATGGGACTGTGGAGATGGGAGCCATCCTCTCACTCCCTGAACTTGTCCACACTCCAAGACCCTGTGTTTGTGTGTGTGTGTGTGGTGATGTGATGTGATGGAGCAGGAGGAGGGAAATGTCTGAGGATGGGGAAGAAAGACTGGGGGGGCCGAAGCCATCCCAGGAAGCCCGCTCCATCGCTGACCCCACAAGGCACCCCTGTTCCCAAAACCCACCTGGGGCAGGGAGACCCCAGCCCATCTACCCAGGGTCCATAGTAGCAGCATCACAAAGCCCTGTTGAGCCTGAAGCCATCCACTCAGCCCCACCCCAGCAAAATATCTACTCCATTTGATCAACTTTCAGACTACATAAGGCATGAGACACCATGGCAGAGTTGGATCCTCCCCCTCCCGTAGGTCCTCCTCCCCTGTGGTGGAAAGTACAAACATTTCTGCCAGCTAGGGAGGAACAAGTTCCACCCAAGGATCCCAGGCCAGGGCCAGGCACAAGATTTATTTTCTTTGAAGTGGGCTAGGTTAAGTAGGAAAGAAATAATTTTCTGCACAGCAAAGCCTGACATTGATAGGAATGTTTTTTATTCTTTTTGATCATTTATGCCTTCCTTTATGTCCCCTACACATCTGTCTCAGTGCTTCTTCTTTCTCTTTTCACTCCCCCTCTTTTTCATCCTGCTCACAAACCGAGCATGGAGGAAAATACAAAGCATCCATCTTTATCCATGTGTCAGAGAGGCACCCAGTCTCCTTGTTGCTAGGTAACACCCGAGAATGCTCCCGTTCATTCAGACTTGCAGACCATTCATGCACCAGGGGCTCTCACTTGTTATGGCTGCATGGAAGCAACCGTATAGCTCTAATCAACTCGCCCGATCCTTTTCTTCTCAATGTTTATAAAAAGCAGAAAAGATAGCCAACATGGCCACCATTAATTTGCCTTTCAGGACTTTTATTAAAATGATCTCAAATGAGCTGTGTGCTTAACTGAAAAGGTCGTCTGTTGCTCTGTGATTAGAGGCACAAACACTGCGCCCTGCTACACAGGGCTTTTGCAGTTATTCTTAGGGGGTATTTATAGCAAAGCTCTGACTGCAGTATCACAAATGAATCAGTAAGAGTACCCAGGTTGTTGCATAACTGAATCTATAATGAGGAAAACTATCAATAAGTTTATTCTGTGTAGGGCCTTGTTGTGAGCTCACAAGTGGTAAACGTTTTAACACACATCACTTTAAAGTCATTTAATAAGTATATAATGTGTTTTGTGTGTCTTCAGGCTATGGAGTACCTTCCAGGTGGTGACCTGATGTCCCTGCTGAACCGATACGAGGATCAGTTTGACGAGTCAATGGCTCAGTTTTATTTGGCTGAGCTTGTAGAGGCCATTCATGCAGTCCACCAGCTGGGTTACGTCCACAGGTAAGACGCCAGCTGTTAAATCCAGTCTCTCTAGTGATTGAGAGCTTATCTTGAAAGATTTGATAAAAAAAAATGGTGATTGTAGCTGGTATTTCTACTCAATTTGTTTAAGTTTTGTTTGCAAATATTTTCCTTTTACTGTAGAATAGCTGACATAGCAGCCAGGGTAACAAGTCTCTTGAGAGCACGATCAAATGTTTTACAATCCATCCACTTTCAGAGACATCAAACCAGAAAACATTCTCATCGATCGAACTGGTCACATCAAGCTAGCTGATTTTGGATCAGCTGCTAAGTTGACTGCAAACAAAACAGTAAGTGGATTACAGAGTTTGATCTTTAAACATCGTTTGTACGTTCATTCTGTGTATTTTTTTCTAACTGCCTTACTTGGTTCTTTTTCCAACACAGCGAAAGAGGTCTGCCTTGTTTTTGCTGACGTTTCGGCTAACGCTGTAGCTTTCCTCAGTTTGCCGCTGCTGTCGGCGTCACTTCCTTCTCTGTTTATCCTTAAGGAAGCTGTAGAAATAAGGAGACGTGGACACACAACCACGATCAGAGGCGATGGGGTCTACACTTTGAATCACACATGGGACTGTGTAAAACCATCCTCTGCTGCCTGCATATAAACGGAGAAGGAAGTGATGCCAGAAACGGTGGCCAACTCTGAGGAAGGCTGCAGCGTTAGCCAAAAACATCAGCACAACCAACTCTTTTGCTGTGTTGAAAAAAGAACCAAGTAATGCAGTTGGAGTTTATTATTTGTATAGGTATTGATGTTTTTGAAAGGAGCACCTTTAAGTTTAAAAAAAAATAAAAATAATTTATTTTTTATTTTTATTTTTTTTACAGGTGACTGCTGCCGCAATACCTGTTGACACCCATGACTTCCTCTCACCTGAGGTTCTGACAGCTATGAATGGGGGTTCTCACGGCTCCTATGGGGTTGAGTGTGACTGGTGGTCTCTAGGGGTTATCGCTTATGAAATGATCTATGCCAAGTCGCCTTTTGCTGATGCTACTTCTCCCAAGACCATTCGCAATATTCTTAACTTTCAGGTACAGATCAGTTGTTCTTATTCATCTTCAGCCAATGGTTCTATCTGATCTGTAAAGAGATTTAAAAATAAACCAAAGTAAGATTTCCACTTTGTAGTTTGATGCGAGTCCATAATATGCTGGGTAAATGACAATTTTAATTATTGATCAGGCTTTATATTATGTAATGCCCACCTTGTTTGCCTGCAGCGTTACTTAAAGTTTCCAGAAGAGCCACGTGCCAGTAGGCAGTTTGTTGACTTGGTGCAGAGCTTGCTGTGTGGAGCCAAAGAACGTTTGGGTTTTGAGGGACTCTGCTGTCACTCTTTCTTCTCTAATGTTGACTGGAACAACCTACGACAAGGTGAGTGGATTCCTAATGTCAGACTCTATTTTCTCTTTGAAAGTAAAACAAAAAAAGCTCAATCTGGTTTAAAATATGATTAAATTGTTGTAACTAGGTCTGCAACAAACGATTATTTGGATAATCGATTAATCGGATGGGGTCTCGACACGATTAATCGATTAATCGGATTACATGGGGAAATTTTTAAAAACTGCTAGGGAAATGTTATTTCTCTCCTTCCTTCACTTTATTTAACACAACATTATTAGAAAACAGTTCAATAGCAGAAAAACAACATGCCATCACCTAAATTGTCTTATAAGGTGTATAGACAGAGACCCTAAGCTACATCTATCTGTGACCTAAAATGCTTGGTCCAAGTTAAACAGCTTAAGGGCAATTTTCATCTGTTTTGTTTGATCTCATCTGTTGACATTTATTTTAAATGTAATTAAACATAGGCTGTGAATTAATCAAAATTGATCACTATTTCCAAAAATGACTGAAAAAATACCAAATAAAACAAAAGTAAATGAATGCCATCCTCCTTGCGATGATGCCCTGGGCAACTGCCATAAAGTCACATCAAGAAATGCTGCTGATCATTCCAATGATCCCAAATAGACTCACATTAGGCCACATGAAAGCAACTGAACCCAAAAATATATTAACCAGTATATAACTGCACTCTCACACAACACGCCTGCAGCAACAGTTAGGACTCCTCCCTCCCTTTGAAAAGCGTTTTTGCTTCTGAGGACATTGTGGCTGTAAAGCCACATGCTAGTAGTCTGGCCCCGGTGTGATCAACCAGTTTCTGCGGGAATGTGACGGCGGAACCAGGGCCAGATTAACACTTTGTTGTACCCTGGGCAACAATATTCAAGGGCTCCATCATCACAACCCAAGGATCACCATAATGTGGTCACATACAGAATATTTTACTGTAATATGCAGTAAATATACTCAATACTTTAATGCCTGACAACACGTAACCCGCCCAGAGTAACCTTTGACCCACCTCGTGTGGACTGACCAATGAGGAGGGGGTCTTAACTTGAGGCCCTCTCTTCATTGGTCAGTCTGCATGAGACTGACTCTCAACTGACGTTCAGTCGTAGGCAGCGAAGCGTCTCTGTGCAGTGCAAAAGCCCGGTTGGACAGTTTGTTCAATGTAGGGTGACCATATTTCCATTTCCAAACAAGAGGACAGGTGATCTGTGCCTATGACATCACACTATGGCAACGCCACACAAACCATGTTGGGACCCATTTTTTGTAAGAACTAAATTAATATCAGATTCTGCCAATAAAAGGGCTCTAAAACAACTCATATGTAAATATTTTGCATATTTAATGCAAAATCTAATTTTTCTGCTTTAGTGCTGCAACAAGGTTTTATTAATAATAAATTATTATACCTTTTGTTTTACTACAGCATCGGTAAGCTTCCTGTGCACAGATTATTAAGGATGCTTGTTTCAGCTGTGAGATTAGACGATAGGATCAATGAAAAAATAAGTTGTCACACACTCCATGGAAACTTTCAGAGAATCCACAAATAGTGGCTTTCAAATGGTTTTGTTACTTTTTGCAAGTTTATAAAAGAAGCAGATGAGACAGCATGTCTGATAATTTAGTTTTTCATCTGATAATATTAGAACATGTCAGTAATGTCTGAGGGGCTTTTATAAACACCATATAACTAACACTACTGGAGAGGGCATGAATAAAGCTTGGTTTATGCTTGACGCATTCACTTTCCACGCGGTGATGCGGCTCGCGGCTGGAACGCGCTTCACAACTCGCAGCGTTTATGGTTTGTGCGGCTCATCTCTGCGGTGAGCCAATATTCTCCCAAACTGTAGGGGGCAGCATGGAGCTCTACAGCATGCATCCAACACTACACCATAGTAGAAGTAGAAATTACTGTTTACAACACGGCATTTCAGCATTTTTAACAGCGTTCTCGTCTTTTCCGACAGTGTGAGCTATTTCTCTCCAAGAATTATTAACAACATGTTGATCACGGTGATCTCTGAGAGCTGAATCATATAAATGTCTGTATTTACGAACCTCTGCCGTGCCGGTCCGCCATGTTTTTCCGCGTCCGACCGTCCGCGTGGTTAGAAATTTTCCGAGGTGCGCGTTGCGGAAATCTTGGGCCGTGCGGAGACGCGGTGGAGGGGCGTGGTTGTTAAAATGACGCAAAATGACGCAACTTTTCCGCGCGGAGCCGTGCGGACCTCGCGGACGCGTCAAGCATAAACCAACCTTTACACAGAGGCTTCTGGGGAGCCCAGTTATTTGCGGGGGGGGGGGCATTTTGCCTTGGCCCCCAAAATGTCTTGAAACGGCCCTGGGTGTGTGACTGAGTTTTGAAGGTGATCTGAATTGTATCAGATGTATAAATATGACATGTGTAGAACTTATTGTTTTTTACTGGTAAAAACGTGTAGTGGTGATAACTCTACCTACATTTTACTTTTCAACACTTTGTTTTGTTTTCTTGTTTTTATTTAACTATTTTCCTGTCCTGTCTGTCTCTCATCTTCCTGCATCTCCTCTTAATTCTCCAGAAAATCTGTTGCCTGGATTCTTACCTTTTCACCTCATCAGTTACTTTTGAGCAGATCAAAGGGATCTCCTGACCGAAAAGCGCAGAGCGCGTTTTCGATGCTGCGTCAGTGAGGTGACATCACCACAGCACAGGTGATGAGCTCCGCAGTAGCGAGCTTCAGGCACAAATAAGACAGAAAATAGAGAACATGTGCGAACATGAACGATCGTATGCTAATTATAGTTTTTTGGTTGCGCCACTTTGAGAATGGACCGTGCGCTGGAAGCAGCTGCCTGGATCGCTGTGCAACAATGTGGAACCGGTTCGCAGCAGAGCAAGTCTGCCGGCTCTCCCTCGCGCTGATCTGCCGGTACCGGCTCTCCCTCACGCTGATCTGCGGCTCTCCCTCGCGCTGATCTGCCGGTACCGGCTCTCCCTCACGCTGATCTGCGGCTCTCCCTCGAGCTGATCTGCCGACTCTCCCTTGCCCTGATCTGCCGGCTCCCCCTCGCGCTGATCTGCGGCTCTCCCTCGAGCTGATCTGCGGCTCTCCCTCGCGCTGATCTGCGGCTCTCCCTCGCGCTGATCAGACTTGCTCTGGTCTGCGCGCAACGGTGGGCGGGAAGGCGGGGCGCTTTTGGAAGAGTTGTGCGACACAACGAATCGATGACGCAATTCGTTGCCAACGCTTTTAGTAATCGATTTTCATCGAATTTATCGATTCGTTGTTGCAGCCCTAGTTGTAACCATGTTATCAATAGATAAGTAATGACTTCTTGTCAAATGTAAATATGAGTGCAGTGTACGTTAGGTTTTTGTGGGGTTACAGAGAGGTACATTATGTTATTTGTACATCATAAGATTTTTTATATCGGTGGCAACGAGCCAGCTTGTTTTTCAAGAGGAGGCAGAAGGGAGAAGTGAAGCAGGCTAAAATGAGCAGCAGAAATTTTAAACACCACCAGCACTCACTTTGTGGTGAAAATACACGTGTGCGTGTTTTAGTGTTGTTGCTTTTGAGTGTGAATATGCACAACATACAAATGAATCAACACTTTGAGTGAAGCATGCTCATATTCATGAGCCACATCCTGACATTGCCTGTAATCCACAACTACATCTGCAGGGATGATGAGTCCTTATTTTGCTCTGCCAGATCATTCTGCTCGTGTCCTCAGATGACTAAACCCTCCCATTCAGACGCATTCATCAAACATATTTTTCCTCCGAGATTTTCCTCTTATCTGCCCCTTTTATTCAGAAAACCAGCTCAGTTCAGCAGGAACATCAGATTAGATGGTGGTACAATGTTTACATAATAATTAATAGATTTTTCAGATTTGTTTTATTTGTTGTGTTCAAATAAAATGTATTAAGGTTTAATGTGTTTGTATTGTTTATTTACAATTAAAACCAGATGAAGCTTTTTGTTTCAGTTGTGGCTCCAGATGATTAGCTTGCTCTGCTGCAGTGAGAGAGAGAGAGAGTGAGTGAGCATGTGTATGAAAGAGGGAGAGAGGAGGAGGGAGGGACAGAGGCAGCATGTGCATCAACGCGCGACTTGCCGCACTCTAGGTTCCCACCGCTCTGCTCCTCCTCCCCTCCTTACTCTTTCCTTTCTCCTTGTTGTTTCTTTTTTAACATCTATTTTTTACTACCTTTATTTTTTGACACTACTCCCCTTTTCCTTGCCCCATCTTATTCCCTCCTCTCCTCCTTTACCCTTTGCAGTTCTGCCGCCTTTCGTTCCTGCATTGCATGCTGAGGATGACACCTCTAATTTTGAGGAGCCGGAGCAGGCTGCCCCCTGGCCAGCCTCAGCAGCCCAGCCAGGAGCTCTGCCAGTGGGCTTTCAGGGCCAGGATCTGCCCTTTCTAGGCTGGTTCTTTAGCAGGGCATTAGCAGCATTGACCAAAACTGAGTAAGTACTACCTGTTTACTAGCTCTGATGGGCTTGTTTTCAGAATGAATCCCCTGTCAGCACCGAGACCTCTTGCATACTCCTGTAGCACCTTTGTTGGTTAAAAATCCCACACTAGGGTTGGCTGCTCCTCTGACTTTATTCTTATTACTACGTCTACCTATTAACGGGCACTCTCCTTTGAGTTATCTTGGTCGTGCCTGTGTCAGTAATGCTGTGCCTTTTGGTGGCTAAATTGGTTTGACCATATGCTGTGTCAAACAAGCAGCAAGGGAGAGGTGAGATCCCCCTCTTCTCACGTGCTCTTTTCCTTTGGTTTCTGTTTTTGTGGTTTTTGTTGGAGCTTTGAGATCTCACATGGTTTGCTCATTACATAGATGGATCAAATAAAATGAACCAGAGGAGATTAAGCATGCGTTGTCTTTCCTTGAGCACTGATTGGTATGCGTCTGAGTGTGTCAATGAGGTCTGCTGAGAAGTGGAACCCCCACACAGAGGCACACTCCCACCCTCGCCGCTCCTACTGTGGTTCCTCTGTTGCTGTGAAGCATAATGGGCTCCTGACTTTTACAGCTTGGGACTGTAATTTATCCTAATGGTGTTTGGCTTCTTAACCCCTGATAATAATGCAGAGGCATGGGTTTCATTTCTGCATCCCCATGCCAGTGCTCTAGCAGGTTAATGATGCTGGAGACTGCGGATCAAAACAGCAGCAGCATGAAAAGAGATGAAAAAGCATTACCAGATGAGACAGGAAAAAGGATAAGAGCTCAGATTGGGGGAGAAAATCTTTCTATGGTTACTACCGTGATGTTTTTTTTTCTTCTTTCCTGGTCCCCACCCCCATCTTTACCCGTCTTATCTCCTCCTCTTATTTTCCCTCTCTCTCGTCTAATGTCTCTGCTCCTTGCTGTTACACCATCATTCATCTGTTCATGGTTTTCATCTGAGGCCAGTCATTTTCTTTGCTATATTTGACTAAGAGGACCTCAGAGCTTTTAGAATTACAGTTTTGTGTGGATAAATGGACATTAACGCTCACATTCCTCATTACAAAACCAAAAAGGAAAATTAAATGATCCCGGTGTAACGCCTGATGACGTGTTAATTATGTGTTTAGAGAATTGATGTAATTGCTGTGTTTTTATGCATTTTATTAATTTATTTTTTCAAACACCAGTTGTGTCTCTTCATTGTTAATGACAAATTTTTCTTTGATTTCTCTTAACGGATTGGCACAAAACTATATTTTCGTATATATGTAATAAATGACAGATTTGTATTTATGTAACAATTTTTACTGCATATAATATGGACACAAAAAATACAAGCAGATAGTTAAGAGAATTGGATAAAAGCAACATTTGAAATTTAAATCAATGCAAAAAGAGAACCTTAAGATGGGCGAATCTAACATTCAGTGAATCACTGAAGAGATCTTGGCACCCTGATTCCCAGAGGAGGACTCTTCCACAGTCTGGGATCCAGGACAGTAATGCAGTCCCCTCTTGTTTTCTGTCAAGAGGGACAAACATCCAGAAAGCCTTGACCATTAGACATCTAAAAGGAATTTAATGAGTTAAAAGGACGCTGAAGTGGGAGTCTGGACGATTATAACTTCATAAGCAGGGAAATATTTAATTGAGTCTCAAATTTGTTAAAAAGCTGATATTGAGACCTAAGAACTGGGGTTGTAGCAAAGCAAAAATGGGTTTTAATGAACGGTATTGTAAGAGTTTTGGGCCACTGTTAACAGGAAACACAGTATTTAATTAAATAGAAGTAAAGAAAGAAAAGAAAACAATCTGTGCTGTAGCGCCTCAAGATAAAAATCATGAGGCGCTTCATAAAAAAGAGTAAAGTTAAAAGTGTTGCAACACAAAAAAAAACTTGAATTACCATATCAGATAAAAATTGTGATTTTGTTGTTGAAAATCATTAAAGGGGCATTATGGAATTTGACAGCCAAAACATGCATAGAAATAATAAATTTCTTCTTCATACATTCTCCTGCAATGCCCTGGTCCTGTAGAATGAGCCCTGGCATTTTTACTGTGATTGCCTGTTTTTCTGTAAAATCACAGAAAAAGAGAGCTGCTCGGGTCGAGCAGGCTGCTTCATGCGCGTTCACGCTCGGGCATAGCCCGTAGCATTTGCTATCCGTAGCTTTAGCAGCAGAGAGAGGGGCAGTGCCACTTTGTCGCTGTTCCTAACGCCTAGTGACGAACCTAGCGACATTTCTGAGGACCCTTAGCTACTTTCTGTAGAACTTTCTTCTAGATATTTCCTGCAAATTAGCAACAAAATAGCCATTTTCGCTTTGAACCATTCTTTGGTTTGACGTTGTTTCAGCTGTTATCAAGGGTATAAAAGGTACAGATACTGTGAATGTTACTATAGTGTAACTCACCTTGTAAGATGTCTGACTCCCATGCAAAAGACCTGGGTTCGATTCTGGGTGTGAACATAGTTCATTTAGAGTTTATTTTTTACATTAATGGTATATTTTTTTACAGTAAGATGCCCAAATTTTTGAGACTCGCCGAACGGCATTAAATTCACGGATAAAAAAGATGTTGGTTCAACTTTCATTTTGGAACAATTTTTCAAGCAAGGGAAGGGAATGATCTGAGCATGCAGGAGGACTGACCCATCTTAAACCTTTGTCGGCTGTGCTGAAGAGAAAGGTACAGAACCAAGTTATTTAATTAATTAGCTGCGCGATCTCCTGTCCTCTGTCCTCCGGGCCACACACACACACGGGACTGTCTCAGCTGTTATGTTCATTAAGGAGTGTGCACGTACAACATGTGCGCCTCGTGCACGAGCCTACTATTGAAGCTGCCGTTACGCTTTTGGCCTGAGGGGGCAGTCACGAGCATAAAAATTCAAAAGTCTGTAAAGTCCCTTTAAATTAAAACAGACTTAAACATGTTTATCAAATATAAATACGCGATTGAAAATGAACTGTGCAGTAGATTATTTAGCCTTATCAGCTTAATAGTTTGGGCCATTTTATCCCTTCAGGAACTTGATTTGGAGCAAAAACCAGAACATTTGTTTTCCTGTGTCATAGCTGAAAATAAATAAATTATCCATTTTTAAATTTCAGCCAGGAAGATGTGTAAAATGGTAAATGGCCTGTATTTGATATAGCGCCTTCTAGAGTCCTAGAACCCCCCAAGGCGCTTTACAACACAATCAGTCATTCACCCATTCACACACACATTCACACACTGGTGGGGATGAGCTACAATGTAGCCACAGCTGCCCTGGGGCGCACTGACAGAGGCGAGGCTGCCGAGCACTGGCGCCACCAGTCCCTCCGACCACCACCAGCAGGCAACGTGGGTTAAGTGTCTTGCCCAAGGACACAACGACAGCGACAGACTGAGCGGGACTTGAACCAGCAACCTTCCGATTACGGGGCGAGCACTCCTGTGCCACCGTCGCCCCGTGTAGTGTAGTAACAGGTAAGATCCGTGTAACAGCTCTGTTTTCGTCATCAGTAGGCTTTGTGAATCAAGATGCAGATTGTTTTTATAACAGTGATGGCACTATTGGGTTTCTGGCAATGGCCTAAAATAAGATTATAGGGAGCCTAAGACACGCCCATCTACTTCCAGAACATGGTTCCTCAGAAGAACGAAAAAATGAATACAAGTCAATGGGGCTAAAAAACGCTATTTTATAATTCCGCTTGTTATGCACCATGGATTCCACATATGATGTCCGTGAATTTTAAAGATGCATTTTGATGCCAAAAACACGCTTATTTTTGAATGGGGGAAACATTATTTTAGGTTTTATATGAAAATAAGTCCAGGACAACAAATGCGCTTCATTGAACCAGACACGAAGAAAAACAGGTTCAGCGAACTTCAAATCCTTCTTTCAGGAGGAAAGAACCACCATAAATCTGGCCATGTGGTAAGTAGCAGCTACGCTAGGGGAGAGGAGATGATGTGGTTGCATCATATATCCGACGTCTGATTCGTAGTCATGCAACAAATCAAGTTGATAAATCTCAAAGTAAGTGACTGGTGTGGTAGAAACACACTTCATTACTTGTCATTTAAATAGCAGTACAACATACGTGCGATCCAGGGCGTAGGACAAAGCAGATTAGAAAATGGCTCTTTTAGCTCCATTGACTTGCATTCATTTTTTAGTTTTTCCGGGGACCCGTGAGCTGACCGAGGGAAACTTAGGAGATAATATTGTTCCAAGCACAGATCCCTCAGACACCCCGCAGCTCAGAGATGCTAAAACTGCAAAGTGTTGTTGAAAGCCACATAACCACCAACTGAACTGGTGAATCGTTGAGAATAGCATTAGCAGCAAACACAGCCAAAGAAAATCTAAAACTACTAAAATTACTTTTTAATAGGATCTAAGTCCACCACAATATGATTAAGAAGTGCAGTCAGTCACTTTGGTTTTTTATTCTGATTACAAAAACATTCTGAAATGTGTTGAACGTCATATTCTTCTCCATGGACTTTTTTAACCATACTGTGTAAAGAAAATGATAATAAAATTGGCAAAAGGAAGCAAAATGATGAATGAAGCAACAGACACCATGTGCACTGTAGTTGCATTAAATCAGTGGATCTCAGTTGTTTTTTTTTTTTTTTTTTTTTTGCGCCTACTGATGGTTTGGGTTGACAACAGGATCAGTTTTGACAGTCTGGTGCGACACCTAACTCTCGATAAGATATGTTAACAGCTCTATCAGAATGCTCTGAATGATGCCAGATGGCTTTAGCAGCTCTAAAGTTGTATTCCACGTCCTCAGAGGATGCGTTCTAATTATTTAACTGACAGTTTTACCCTCGTCTTATGCTATTACAAGGTTTAGGATTTCTGTTTGGAGGAGCATGTTGGCAGCTAATGGTGAGATTTTGGAGAAATCTCTTAGGACGCGCACAAGCTTTCTTATGTTTTCAACGGAGTCCTCGATCTCCCTCACAGTGTTACTACTAGGCCAGTAGCTCTGCTCACGTACAAGAGAGACTTCTCCACTGAAACATGACTCGTTCTTTTTGGAGATTTTAGGTGCAGGTCTCAATAAGAATGTGCATTTGTGTCATTTAAAAGTGCCATATTGGCAATTGGAAGGAAGGAGAAGGGATGTTGTATAAAAGCAGCAAACTACTTCTCAACTGTTGCTTATTTTTCTCCATCGTTATATAATTTCTCAAAGAATGAATGTTTCTCAGATTTCTTTAACATTATTTTTCCATTAATGTTTTGTTTACAGTAAAAAAACGCTCCATCATTCTTACTCGTTTCTTGCAAATAAAATCATATTTCTAGTTACCTTTTATTCTCTGCATATTTTTGCAGTTACTGATGTTATATTGCATTTATAATGTCTGTTTGACTGGTTGCACCGAAGATTGTTCCTCTGCAGTTCAAAGAAATGACAAACCTCAACCACAGAGTGGTCTGAAGTGTTTTTTTCCTGTCCTTTTCTTTACATGATGTTCACAACTACCAAAAATACTTAAACTTTTTTCATTCTTAAACTGTTATCTGCTTCAATTTCAGATAAAATAAGACTTAGAATGTGTTTGGAATAAATCTCCATCTTTTTATAGTTTGGCAGTTTTATGAAAAGAAACCTAAATTGAAATGAATCGTCTAGCTCAGCCCAAAACTCCCCAGCTGGAGGGCTCAATCCATCTTATCTGTGCATAGCTCATCTTTATCTATTTAACTAAAGAAGAGGCTGAATTAGGACGTCCAAAATGGTTTCTCCTTTCGTTTTAGGTTTAGGTAAAAAATTTACTTTGGAGTGTTTCCCTATTCAATTGTGATTCTTGTAAAAAAAATAATTGTGTGTGTGTGTGTGTGTGTGTGTGTTTGTGCGCGTAGGTGGTATAGGGGTTTTGAATATGTGTGCCGTCCATAAATGCATTTCAGGGGGAGGTTAGCACAGAGACAGCAGTGTTTGCCTTTGTGATTATTTTTAACACTGTGACTCAGACGGAGTCAACTTTATTTAAGATCTCTGTGGTATTTGTAAACTCATTCATACATTTCATTTATTTTATTTATTTTTTAATCTTTTCAGAGTTGCCTTGTTATGAGAAGGTTGGAAATTTAATGTGTTTACTACATAGAAATAAAAAGGAGATGTCTCTGCATAAACAGGAAATCTGTGTGTATCAGGATCAAAGTTGACCCTGCCCAAACGGCACAGGGTGAAAGCTTCATTAATATTATTTTGTGAGAAAAAGCGCAAATGATTCTAGTCCCACACTGTTATTGGGTGAATCATGCCACTCCTGGTTTAACAGGTTCACGCAGTCCACTTTGATTTGATGTCTTCTGACCACTCTTCTTTCTTTTTAAGCTTAAGTGATCATAATTAATGCAGCTCTGACTTGCCTGTGTAAACTTTGAACATATAAGCTGGCAATAACAAATTCTAACATTTCACCATTCTGACAGTAGGATGTTCTCTCCTCAGGTCAGTGTCTGCAGGCCTAAACTCTCCTGCTAAGACCAACTCTATGGAAAAGAAGCTGCATCTTAAAGGCAAAGAATTACAAGAAACTCAAGACAAATGCCATAAGGTGGGTGGGCACAGTCTTACGCTTTTATTCATGTTTTATCCTTATTAACAGATCTCTGTCACTACAGTTTTCATTAACTTGTTGTCTTTGGAAGCTTATATTCAGAGTTTCATCTGCCTGTGATTGATTTTGACTACTCTCAATAAGCCCCTTTTCCCGAAATGATTATTAAACGCTTCTGTTTGGAAGAAAGAATTTTACACAGACTTAATTGTTTATTGGAAACTGTAAAAATCTATTTTCATTTAATCATTTTGGGTTTTATTTCCAGACTTGTTGTGTTTAAATTGGCAGGCTTGCTAAAGAGCGATCAAGAAAGCTTCTGTTGGTGCTCTAATAAGCCAAGATAATCTTCCTGTTTGTACAACATTACAGCTTCATGATTCGAGGCTTCCATGGTAGAGTGATGGGTCTGAGAAATCAGCTATAATCTGAATCTGAATCCGTTATACTGGCCACGTGTCCCTTGGCATACGAGGATTGTGCTGCTTGTTTATGGCGATCCTACAGTACGAGCTTTAGCTCACACAGACAGAACACCAAAAGGCTTTTGATGCCATAAATTATCCATTTCTTGAAGGTACTGAGTAAGATGATTTTTTCTTTGACGTATATAGATGGAGCAGGAAATCTCCAGGTTCCAGCGTAAAATGACTGACCTGGAGTCGGTCCTCCACCAGAAGGATGTGGAGCTGAAAGCCTCAGAGACACAGAGAAGCATCCTGGAGCAAGACCTCGCCACCTACATTACTGAATGCAGCGTGAGTCATACCAGCTTCTTTTAGTACAGTTCTGGGAAATGGTTGAACTCCATTGCAAAATATTTTCTTCCTTTTGCATCACTGTCCTCGACAATCTTTTAAAAAAGGTGCCAATTCAATTTGCACACGTGTGTCTGCAGAGCCTGAAGAGAAGCTTGGAGGAGGCGCGTGTGGAAGTCTCCAGAGAGGACGATAAGGCCATGCAGCTTCTGCATGACATAAGAGAACAGAGCAACAAGCTACAAGAGATTAAGGAACAAGTATGTCATTTCTCCCTCTTCTTTGTCTCATACTTACTTACTTGGGGAAATACACAAGGCTTCTGTCCTACTGAGACTTTTCTGTTTTTAAGCTGTAGCTGGTAGTGGAGTAACTAAGGAAGCAGTGTGATATTATTCCTTCTCAGTGTTAAACAGATGGGGCTTGCCCTCTTGAGTGCCCAGAACTCACAAAGGTCATCCCCGCAGATGTTATCCCTGTAAGGTTAAAAACCTTCAATGTTACTCAGGCGATCCACCCACCCTCACATGCAACAGTTTGATGACTTAAATGACTAATAAATACACACGTTTTTACAGATGGAAACCCTAAATAACCTTAGTAAAAGTTTGGTTTCATACAAAATGTCACCTGATGTCGTTGCTGAAGGATTTTCATCAGATTCTGAGTTTCTAGTGTTTCTATGTCTGCAGAGATTCTGACATATTCTAGTGTTGGGTTTCCTTCCACTTGGAGCTCTGCTATGTGAAGTTGTAATGTTTTATCTTTGAATTTGACATTTTTGCTGATAAATGGTAATTGGCACAGAGCATTGCGGTTTCGGGAGATCACAGCACAAAGAAACGGTGTCAGCAGATATGAGAAGTCTGTCGTTGTCTGAGCAGAGCTTGATTCAAACGCTGCCTGTCCCGTGTTGATACCTCAGTTTTAAACTGGCACCACAGCAAAGTGAACATTTAACAACTGCTTTGGCTCAGTCAGTTATACTCTTCACTGTATCTGTCTTTTTATACTCTTTTTTTTTTTTTTTTTACTTGGATTGTTTTACTTAAGGAATTACAAAATAAATAAATGAAGAAGAGTGATCGCCCCAAACATATGATATTAAGCTGCCACTCTCCAATGCATACTACTGATTCTATCGATGACCTCAGGAGTACCATGCCCAACTGGAGGAAATGCAGGTGACCATCAGGCAGCTGGAGGAGGACCTGTCCGCTGCTCGGCGTCGCAGCGACCTCTACGAGTCTGAGCTCAGAGACTCCAGACAAACAAGCGAGGAGCTCAAACGGAAAGCTGTGGAATACCAGCAGAGAATTCAAAAGGTACTTGAACTGTCTTACAGTTCGTTTTACAGAGGCAGATGTAGGCCTGGGACGATAACAAATTTTGCTGGACGATATATTATCCAACAAATTATTGACGATAAAAGATATTATTGTCGACATTATCGAGACCAAAATAACCACTTAAATAATGTTAAAGGGGCATTATGGAAGTTTGACAGCCAAAAAATGTATAAAAATAATAAATTTCTTGTTCATACATTCTCCTGCAATGCCCTGGTCCTGTAGAATGAGCCCTGGCATTTTTACTGTGATTGCCTGTTTTTCTGTAAAATCACAGAAAAAGAGAGATGCTCAGGTCGAGCAGGCTGCTTCATGCGCGTTCACGCTCCGGCATAGCCCGTAGTATTTGCTATCAGTAGCTTTAGCAGCAGAGAGTGAGGTAGTGCCAACTGAGCGATTTTGTTGCTGTTCCTAACGCCTAGTGATGAACCTAGCTACATTTCTGAGGACCCTTAGCTACTTTCTTCTAGACATTTCCTGCAAATTAGCAACAAAATATCCATTTTCGCTCTGAACCATTCTTTGGACGTTGTTTCAGCTGTCATCAAGGATATAAAAGCTACGGATACAAAAGACATTACCGGCGCTTTAGCTCACCTAGTTAGAAGACGGATTCCCGTGCGGAATATCTGAGTTTGAATCTAGATGTGAACTACATTTATTTAGAGTTTATTTTTTACATTAATGGTATATTTTTTTACAGTAAGATGTCCAAATTTTTATTTGAGACTCGCCGAACGGCATTGAATTCACAGATAAAAAAGATGTGGGTTCAACTTTCATTTTGGAACAATTTTTCAAGCAAGGGAAGGGAAGCTCTGTGAAGCTGACGGACTGACCCATCATAAACCTTTGTCGGCTGTGCTGAAGATAAAGGTACAGAACCAAATTATTTAATTAATTAGCTGCGCGATCTCCTGTCCTCTGTCCTCCGGGCCACACACACACACACGGAGCTGACTGTCTCAGCTGTTATTTTCGTTCAGGAGTGTGCACGTACAGCATGCGCGCCTCGTGCACGAGCCTACTATTGAAGCTGCCGTTACGCATTTGGCCTGAGGGGGCAATCATGAGCATAAAAATTCAAAACTCTGTAAAGTCCCTTTAAAATGTCATAATAATGCAAGTACACCCTTTAAAATGCAAATACATAAACATAAACAATTAAGCCTTTATTTAACTTAAGTGATATATTTTTGCCAGTAATTAAACATCTGAGCTCCGTTTGTTTCCTTTGAGGTCGTAGAGATCAACGTTATTGATTGTAGACAATGTCTGAAAATACCCATCTCTAGCCCCCTTCACAATTTTATTCCTGTAAGGGATGCGTTCATCCTTGTTCTTTTCATCCATCCTTTTTAACTCTCGTTCTTCAACTTCAGCTGCGGCTTCCCCTAGCCACACAAGTCTTACTCCTAAAATGGCGCTGAGGGGGATGTGATCGTCACGTGTCTGACAAAGACCGATGTATTGAGGGTGGAAAAATTATTGAGTTTGTTTTCATCTGTCGTACGATTGATTTGTTGATTATCGTTCCAGCCCTAGGCAGACATTTAGGCTGCTTATAACTAAAAATAATCTGATTAGTTGATGATGCTTTAGCTTATAATATTGTCTTAATGAAAAACTAAACTCTTTAAACAGAATAATAAGAAGGAAAGACGTGAGCCATTTAAAATTCAAAAGCACACGATATCCATACAAGCCGGCGCTCACGAAATTATTATTTTTTTTTCTATTCTGATTAATCCGCAACTGACTTAAGTGTGAGTAACATTAGAATTGTTTACTCCTTAGCATTTATATGAATGTCAGTAACAGCTATCTAATGCTGATGTGCTTTAGAAACCCCCTTTGGAAAGGAACTCCTTGTCTGACCTGGAGAACCAACACTTAACTTTTTTATGCCCTAAAAGTTTGTTGTTTTTAAACCAGATGTGGTTTCTAAGAAAACTTCTGGGCAAACAATGACTTCTGGGCATTGATTAATCCTCTCAATGTTTATTATATTTAGGCTAAAGAACAGGGAAAGGCTGACGTGGAGGAGCTTCTCTCCAAACTTGAGAAGGTAAAGGAAAAAGACACCTTTTCTGTTTAACAGAAGTTTTTGTTATGTTGGATAAGTCTGATCACTGGTTGTGTGGTAGAACTGTTCTCTCCGGTTCCCCTCCTACTGACCAAGAACATGCATGTTGGGTAACAACTGTTGATTAGGTCTCACTAAGTGTGACTGTCTAAACATGTCCATTTGATGGGCATGCGACTTGTTCAGAATTTACCCCACCTTCCACCTGGTCACTGCAGGAGATGGACACCTGTGACCCTTACAGGAAGAGATGATTACAGAAGACGAATGAAAGTTTGATCAGTTTTCTTTTTTATTTTAGACAAACTCTGAACAGCAGATGAAAATTCAAGAACTTCAGGACAAACTGTCCAAGGTAAATGTTAATAACCACTGTCATTGTGTATTTCTTACTTTGTCACAAACAAACCCTTTTATTTTATCTAATGACTGATTGTCGTCCTCGTCGTCGTTTTCCTCCACTTATCTGGGTCCGGGTCGCGGGGGCAGCTTCCCAACTAGAGAGCTCCAGACCGTCCTCTCCCCAGCCACCTCCACCAGTTCCTCTGGCAGGACCCCAGGGCTTTCCTGGACCAGATTGGAGATGTAACCTCTCCAACGTGTCCTGGGTCGACCCGGGGGCCTCCTGCCAGCAGGACATGCCCGAGGCGTCCAGGA